CCTTACTTCGATGATGTCCTCATCGCTAGGGAATCACTCAAAAACCTGGCTGAAAGGCGTCAGTCTGTTTTGCTGCATTTCCGCGAAGCGGGGCTGAAGCTTAAGCAGGAAAAATGCAAAATTGGAGTAACTTCCACTGAATTCCTGGCATCCATCCTGCTAAATCTAAGCTCAAAGTGATTCAGCAGGCCCCAAGTCCCAAGTCGGAGAGTAAGCTTCAAGCCTTCCTTGGGCTTCTAAATTTTTACCATTCCTTCCTCCCCCACAAAGCTGCAGTGGCAGAGCCATTACATCAGCTTTTGGACAAACAGGCTCCATGGAAGTGGACAAAAGTCCATGAAAGGAGTTTTGCTGAGGTCAAGGCATTGTTGTCTTCAAATGCTGTTCTCGCTCATTTCAATGAGCAGCTGCCAGTGTGTATATAGCTTGTGATGCATCCCCTTATGGGATCGGGGCTGTCTTAAGTCACCTCAAGGCTGATGGGACTCAAGGTCCTGTAGCATACTATTCAAGGACTCTGTCTTCTGCTGAGCATAACTACGCACAGATAGACAGAGAAGCCTTGGCCATAGTGTCTGGCATAATAAAGTTCCATGACTTTTTGTATGGCCACCACTTCATGGTCTTTACAGACCATAAGCCATTGCTGGGGTTCACAACGAACAAGCAAACTCCACACATAATTTCTCCTAGAATGCTGAGGTGGTCAATTTTCCTTTCTGCATATGATTACTCCCTGGTTCACAAACCAGGCAAAGAAATGGGCCATGCAGATGGCCTTAGTAGGTTGCCCCTACAGCTTGTAGAATCTGATCCTGATCCTCAATGCAGGGGATGTGGCTGCAGAAACAGCCACTGATAACATGCTAACACGCGTGTTGACATGGGTGCTGTAAGGATGGCCTGACACATGTCCTGGCACCAATTTCTAGAGTTTCTGGAAAAGGAAGCATGAGCTTTCCACCTTTAAGGGTTGTGTCCTGTGGGGTAGCAGGGTAGTGATCCCAGTCTCATTGAGGACTAGAGTCTTGCAGTCTCTGCATGAGGGACATCTGGGCATAGTCCGGATGAAGGCACTTGCGCACAGTTATCTTTGGTGGCCTGGGCTTGATAAGGAGATTGAGGCCCAGGTCCAAGGGTGCCACATTTGCCAACAGTCCAGGCCTGAAATGCCACAGGCTCCTGTACATAGGTGGGAGGACACACATGATCCTTGGTCGAGGGTTCATATCGACTACGCTGGCCCTTTCAGGGGCAATTCTTCTTCATTGTTGTGGACAGTCACTCTAAATGGCTAGAGGTAGTTCCAGTGTCCACCACAACTACTGCCAGGACCATCCAGGTATTGAGAGGGATCTTTTCCTCTCATGGGCTGCCAGATGTCTTTGTCTCTGACAACGGACCTCAATTCACCTCTTCGGAGTTCCAGGCTTTCCTGCAAGTCAACATGATTCGTCATACTACTTCGGCACCCTTTCATCTGGCTTCTTACAGCCAAGCTGAGCACATGGTGCACACAACTAAAGACGCCTTGAAGAGGCTCACTCACAGGAGCTGGCACCATAAGTTAGCTGATTTTCTCCTTTGCAACCGCACCACACCTTGCACAGCTACAGGCAAGAGCCCAGCTGAACTCTGCTGGGGTCGCCAGCTAACTACCAAACTGGACAGGTTACACCCAGACCGGGTGGCTTCACAGGTGTCACAGCCATGGGCACCGAGGAGACTACAGGTGGGCGATCCGGTTTGGGCAAGGAACTATGGACCTGGACATCTCTGTGTGACAGCAGTGGTCTTCAAGGTCACTGGGCCACTGTTATATGAAGTGGCCTTGGAAGATGGTCGCGTGCTGCATCGGCATATTGACCAGCTGTGATGGAGGCTATCTAGTCACCCTTCTGCTCCTGACTCTGCTCTCGGGGAGGAAGAGGACCATGATCACGATCGTGGATCGCAGTCTCTCTGTGGTAGCAGGGGTTTGCATTCTTCAAATAGGGGGTTTGCCAACAAGGCGGCTCCTGACTCTGGCACTGGGTCCATGGGACATTGCACGCAACCGGCTTTTCATGCCACATCTACTGCAGGTCTTGTGCCTACGGGATAGTGCTCCCAACAGGGGTCTTTTGCAGACCTGGGGAGTTCCACCCCACCAAGAAACTCTGGTCTGGGCTTACTGGAAATAGCCAGCCGAAGTCAGAGGAACAAAGGGTTGGGTTTACTGGACCAGGCCAGTCAGCAAGATGCAGTTCATCTGTATCTACTGGGCCTCAAAGTCCTGGTCTGACAAGCCTGGTAGGCGAGCTTGCAGACCGGGCACTTGCAGCAGCTCCGAGATGCTCGGAACGGGTCAGAGGCCCTCCAAAGTTTTTACAGGATTATGTAAGATTACTGTCTGTAAGCGGGTGGGCCTAGTATTTCTCTAGAAATAAGAATACGCTCAAAAGGGTAACTTTGGAGTAGTTAACAAAATAGTTGTGTATGTTTTTTTTAACTAAGAGGGGAGGGGTGTTATGTCCTGGGCCTGTGATTGACAGAGCAGGTGCAGGAAGCTACAGAGAGTCCAGGGCAGACCACGTGGCTACCCAGGCCAGACAGGCTGTCTCCAGCCTATTGCGCACCAGCAAAGCGGGAGAATATGTTGCATTTATTGGCTGATGCTGTCCCTGGAAAAGGGTATAAAAGGGATCCGCGCCATTTTGTGTTGGTTCTGTTCTGTTGAAGCTTTAATAAAGAACCAATTGTTGTTATTACTGCCTCGTCTCAATGCCTTACCAGCACACAGAACAGAACAATCATGCTGGCCCTATGACCATGGCAAATGTCTTCAGACAATGCTGGCTTTAGTCCTAGACAGTGGTGGTATTCAAATAGGTGAACAACCGGTTCTCTGTGTGGATGTCACTTCTGGAAGTCCATCCTGGGCCTAGGCAACAAAAAATTAGCTACCGGTTCTGCCAAACTGGTGCGAACTGGCTGAATCACATCACTAGAGCCGGGCACGACTGGACAGGGAAACCTTTATCTTTGGTAGTTTCTGACATATCAAAGGTGATTGGAGGGCTCTGCTTTCTTAATCAAATCAGCTAGACAAGAAGAGAGACAACGTTATTTTTTCTTCTATTTTGGGCGTTAGGCCCTTTTAAGAAAAAACAAAACGTTCTTCACAGTTACACTTTATTAAGATTGTCAAGCAAGGGATTTTAGCCATCATGTACATACAAAAATAATCACATCGTACAAGCTGCTTTTCCACATGGATAAGAAAAGGGGAAGTACATTGGCATGCACTTATAAAGATGATTCATAGAAAACTAAGCTCTCCTTGTTTGCATTTCTGGATTCCTACCCACTTGCAAATGTTCGAATGAAATACTCTGAAAGCTTTGCAATAAATAATGTTCTGACCAGCATTCCATTCCTCCTCTAACAACAAATACCACTCATCTTGGCAGGGATTGGGGAATATATATATATTCGATGGGCACTGAAATAATAAAAATCAGTAGGATATGGAAGGATATGCATGGTGGGTTTTGCCATTAGCAACCACATCTGTGGTTTCAGATATCTATCACGATGCCCCATGCAAACAGTGTCACAATGGGAGAATTACTGTCAGTCACCTATAGGATATCTACTAATAGGTTTACTTGTAAAAACAACAGTTAATCACATATAGTTTTAAACAGCAGATCCACTGTTGAATGAGGCTTCTTTAGCACAAGGGTGTGCATAGAGTTACACGTAATGCCTTACATCAGCCACATACCAATGCACAATTCTTCACATTTAATTTTTATGGTCAGCTTTCCTTTGGGGGAATGTAAATGGTCCACACCTCTGTGTTAGACAGGCCTGTACTTTGGCTTCAGCAGCATTTCCTGAAACAGTTTGTAAAGTTATAGTACACTGCCAACTGAATCATATGGCTGGTCTTGAACAAGAATTTTCGAGTTTGCAAGCTGACCTGATTTTAACAGAACGTACAGTTTGTTAGTGAAATATTTCTTACACAAGAGGCATGGGGGACATAGCTATTTGGTAGTGCTTCTGCAAAACCAGGTAACTTTTTTCTCTAGTGGACATTCCAGCAGTACTTCAAGTCAGGAAAACCTCATCTCTGGAGAATCCCAATATGCCGTTTAGTCATATTTCTTCCAAAGAATTGTTCCCACATTTTGTGTTACTGTCAGCCTGCCTTCAAAATAACTTAACTGCACACATTGCCTTTAGAATCAAGTAAATAATAAAAGGAAAACTTAGGAAGGGAAAGTTGTTTTACAGAAAACTATTTCAAAATAATCCTTTCTTTCTTATATCTGCTCTACAGCTCAGATCTATTGTGAAGACTCTGTAGCTCACTATGATAATCTTCGGGCTTTTATCTCTTGGATAATAAATTAATAAAATACCACAAACAGTATGGTTTAAAATAGTTCTGGATGACATGTTTTTTTTTCCTTTTACCAATGCTGCTTCATTTTTCTTTTTCTTTTCCTCTTTTTTTGATCTGGTTGGTCTCTTTCCCCCCCTTTTTTTTGGGTGGTCTGATTAAAAGGTGGCACCTATATTCAAAGGAGTCACTTTGGGTACTGCTTAATAATAGAAATATATGCCATTTCAACATTGTTAAGGCTAAGAGCACAAAAGATGGTAAAAGTGAGGGTCCAAATATGGATGGGAAAGGCAGTTACTCAGTGGTGTAATTCATTCTTTTAATACTGCTGCTCAAGAATCTCTGACCAATGGAGTGGGCAACTATTCTGCATGAAGATAACTGTGCTTGGGAGGTAGGATTAGAATTGGAGTATCGGGTATGTTGGATTAGGTGTCTTAACTGAGTTTTTATTGGCCGCATTGAGTTGGTTTTAGCGTTGTGCAGACTCTTTTGTTTCATCGTTCCTTTGACATTCTTCGAAATTCCACCTGGGTGAATTCTTTCCATATGTTTTGAATTGATCACGTTGATCATGCCTCTCCTTTTTTTTTTCTTCCTTCAGGTGAACGACCTTTTCCTTGTACATGGCCAGAGTGCCTTAAAAAGTTCTCTCGCTCCGATGAGCTAACAAGGCACTACCGAACCCACACTGGGGAGAAGCAGTTTCGATGCCCACTTTGTGAGAAGCGGTTCATGCGGAGCGACCATCTCACCAAGCATGCCCGTCGCCATACCGAATTCCACCCTAGCATGATCAAGCGATCTAAAAAGACCAGCTCTGCCTCCTTTTGAAGGAAAGACTACAACAGGAGTGAGAGTAGGGAGATGGCCATCAGTGAAAAAGGCAGAATGGATCAGCACAAATATGTCCACCACTGTACAGTAAAATCCCCCCCCGACTTGCATTTTTAAAGCACATGTAGCTGGAAATTTAAAGATTAACATTTTTGTTCTGTCCACCCTGCTGTGCTACCAACCACAGTCTTAAACCAGGGGCTGCTGGGTGGGCGTGGGGGGTTGGGTGGGGAGACTGTATGGGGATGAGCAGAAATAATGCAACTTTTTTTAGTTTAAAGAATCAACACTGGTGTGTGGGTGCATGTGTGTGAACACAGACACACACACACACATCTGTATATAGTTATATGTGACTGGGTGATTTGACCTGTGACACCACAGTAGTGATTCCAAGCTCTTTGTGATTGCTGTGTCATGGAGATGTTTTGTTGACTAATGTAATGCTGCTTGTATTTTAAAACAAAACAAAAATCCAGTTTAGTGAAACCACTTTCCAACTCACTTAAGTATTTTTCAAGTAAAACAAAAAACAAAAACATCGTAGCACATGATAGATGGAATTTCACATTTCTTTCTAAGTGGTCCACCCTGTTCAAGACTGTTAAGGAAAAAAAATCATTCACAGTACCAGATTGGTGGAAGGAAACTGTACTTTTTACCAAGTTATCCTTTTTGAGCTGCTCTTTTTTTCCCCCCAGTGGAAACATGCACAGAAATCAATTATGAAACCAAAAGGAAAACAAGAAATCAGCTGGCATCACACACAAGAGGCTATTCTTTGCTGTGTAGAAAAGAAACAATGCAACCTAAATCGTGCAAAGAAATGTGGCAGAAATATGAGACTATTTTTTTTCTCCTTTAGCTGTTCCTAGACTTTCATCTGAAAAGCAACCATATACTGTACTGTACTATATGAATACCACTACCAGTGCTTTACTCTGCTGGGTTTTGTTGGAATGAATGCATAACAGCAGCTACCATCTTGATAAGCTACCACTTTTATAAAAGGTTTTTTTTTCTCTTACGACTCTTTCTCTCTTTTCTCAATGGTGCATTTTCTTCACCTCTCGCCAGAATTCTGTCTCAGCTAACAGAACTATGCGCATTTGGAGTTGGTAGAGAACCTTTTTTTGTTTTATTTTCACCAACAGAACATTCTCTACATGGACGAAGGCAACTAACACTAATTTTTTTAAACTACTTTTTAACAAGTCTTCTTTTTCATAAATTGCAGCTGTTGTACAGAGTCTGGGGAATAACAACCAAACTAACTGCAAGTAGGAATCCAGACTCAGATGCAGGAGGCGTGTCGAAATACTTTTCACGACACGGCCTCACCACTACGTACCTTGCAATCTCAATCCTCCGTATCAGGCTTGATACAGTTTAATGATAATGGCAATATTTCATCTGTTTCAAATGCTACAGTTTGCTCTTCGGAACAGAGGCACCATCCACATTGGAGAAAAGCTCTTGCATCTAGCCAAGCTGTGTCATCTTTGTTAATGTTGAAAGCATGAACCTGATGAAGGTTGTAATCCATGGACGTTCCCTTCCCCCATCTCTCGTGATGATGGAGAATCATGTTTACAGACTTCCCTCCTGCCCCCTCTGCCCTTGACTCTTCTTTCTCATGATGAAAGGCGTGGTGCAACTGTCCTATGTCGGGCTAACTTTGTGGGTGAGGAAATCACACGGTAGCCGGAGGGATTACACCAGGATCAGTTTGCCCAACTTTGTAAAGAATCTGTACATACGACCTTGTAAAGTATACCTGCTATGACAGTATCTTGTTCTTGTTTCATCCGATAGAAAGCTAGCTTCCTAGAAAAATAAAATAAAACATCTCAGAGAGTAGAATATTCTACAATTGTCTGTGGCTTCCAGCACTAGAACTCAGTGTGCATCAAGCATTTTTACTTGTGTGGCTCATTATAAAACCTGTCTATGCGAAAAGAACAGCTTTTAAATAAAGGTGTTGGGGCAATGAACAACTTAATGGCATTTCAGAAGCAAAAAGGAATGAGTGTTCTTCAGTGAAGACATGTCAGGAAACCAAGCACACTTTCTACCTCCGTTTCAACTTCTTGAAACGTTTATTTTATGATAAACCAAAATTAATTTCTGGTGTCCAAAATAAATTGTAGGGATGTTTGTTCTTCCTTATAAAAATAGGTAGCCTGGCTCTTTCTATTGCTCGAGTGTATAAAAAAAAAAAGAGAGAGAGAAAGTATTCTGCTTTTATCAGTACTGTTAATGCTGCCTTGTTTAATAAGGGTGAGGACTATGTGGTTGGTCAGCAGCTCGCAAATGTGGTACTATTCCAGTCGTCCTCCCTTTCTATATGAAACCAATCCTCTGGAGCCTAAGCTCTAGTCTGAGTCCTATTAAACAGTTTGCCAGATCTTTACTGTTGCTTTGGGATAGGACAAGTGCAGTTTTAGCAAAAGAGAGCCCAAAAGCTGAATGCTGTTTTTTCACCTTTTGTACAAAGCAAGCCATAGGCACTTAAAATGGCACCCTCCTTATCAGGTCACAAAGGCAGATGAGAATAATTAGGTTTGGTGAAATGGTGGCTAGGGCACTTGCCCATTCCCTGACAGCTGTGGACTCTTTTTTTGATCTCATATGACATGTGGCCACCTCCAGTCCACCCGAAGGTTCTACGTTGGTCCCTTGGGCTGGAAAGCTCTAGACGGCCAAATGGTGCTATTCATGTTGCTCCCTTGTGGACTTCAGGGTATAGAAATGATGGCTTTGCCTTCACCCCACCAGCCAAACCATTTGCAGAATAGTTTGCCGTGATCTAATTGGCAGCATTTATTATTTGAACAACAAATCATAGGAACTGCTCTTCTCATTTCTAAAAGGATTCTTATGGACAAATCCAACCATAGGATGTATAAAATAATGACTAGGTTGATTTTTCTTAACAGCTCTTCCAGCTATAAAAAAAAGAGTGAATCCCCAATGTATTTCATCCCCAATGAATCCCCAACCTTTGTGATATTCTGGTCATTACAATGAGGTGTGCACGATCCTGCCTTCACTAGATAACGTGTATTATTTCTAGCATTGGAGTGGCCACCAGTTTGCAATGAGTAGGCTGACTGACATGTACTGTAGGTAAACCCATTATAAGCTACTGAGGATGTCTCCACTAATGTGTATTGAGAGATGATAAAACTTCTGGCTTGATAACCATTAAACATGTCAGATCACCCACTTTCTGCAAACAGCCATGAATTTCTCCAGCTATGATGCAGGGGAAGCAACTGGCACGATAACTTTTAATTGGGGCTGTCATGCATACCAATAGTTAAGCTACCGATTGACACTGGCCTGCTTCCTATATTAGTTTTAGACAATGTGTGCATAACCAGGTCTTAAAAGGGCTGGTCTGGCATTTGACAGCAAACGGGGTTGAGAATCTTGGGCATGATTTGTCTGCTGCATAAGTCATGTAAGATGCCTCATTTGCAGTTGTTGGGGCAAAAGGAGAAATAAGGTGCTTAATTCTTACCCATTCAGAGTTTTCTTCTTCCCAAATAAATCTCTTCCTTAGGCTGAAATTAGTTGGTAATTTGAAGGGCAATTGAACAGGATTAAGCATGTGTAGTACAGATCCTTGTCCCAGCAAACTGTTTTCACTTAGCAGCAGAAGCAAGGATTTCTTCAACCTTGCTTGCTGACAACTGCACCCAGCTGCACTATCATTGTTAAAATGTTTTTCTGTGGGAACTGTAACTCCCATGGCTGTGCCCCAGAAAAGAGACGTAGGGCTCAAGCATCCAGGAGTTTCATGAGGGTTACTCTCAGAAGCAGGGAATGTTTATTAGGGTTTTAATCTCAGCATGCTTACTTGAAAGCAGCAGTCCTTCAAATGAATGAAACTTGCTTTCAAATAAATCTGGTAAGCAACAGGATGTAAAATATGCTTTTTAGGAGTCTTCCAAAAGTAACATCAGAAACTACCCAAAGTTTATTAACCACTAACAAAATAAAATCGGACAAGTTTGTCAGATTTGGTGTAAGAGTAAGCAGTGAACGTCACTTGCAGACTTGACAGCGCAGTGAAATAGGTTGTGATCTTTTAGCAAATCGGAATTTGAGCAGAGGCTACAGCAGGTGTTGACCAGAAGGAAAAATCAAGTTCTTGGTGAACTTCTTTGCCAGGCCACTCTGGAAATTCTCAAAAGAGTGCTGACGTGAAAGCAGCTCCTCGCCTCCATTCAGAAAGACCTTCCTAGAGAAGCCATGGCTTTAAACTACAGCTATACAACATCTTTTGTGAACAATTTTGATGACTTCTATACAGGTCTCTCCTGTTTGTTGATGGACTTAGCCCAGTATGCACCAGACATACTTTTCAAATGCTGTTTTATTGCAGGTTAACAAATCTGTAACACTGTAAAATTACCAATCTTTACAACTTTAATCCATTTTATTTTTGTACAGTATTCGTATCCTTTCTAAGTTATTTTGCTGTCCTGTTTTGTAAATCATATGAAATTGTAAAAAAAAAAGAAAAAAGAAAAAGAAAAAAGTAGGAATAGGTGTTTTTGTACATATGTATATAAAATGTCCAAATACTTAAAAGAAATAAAATGAAACAAAATGGAAAAACTGCTTGGGATGATTTGTATCAGAGTTTGATTGGTCAAAATTGGATAGTACAGAAAATAATGAGAGGAAATATCTATTAACAATGGAGTTGAATCACTCTCCCCATTCTGATTCTTCCAGATCAGCAAGACAACTCCTTAATCTTCCAGTCGCTTAAAGCCTTTGGAGTTGAAATTCAATATACAGGGAGGCCATTATGTTGGGCAAAGTTGATTTAGACAGATAAAAGTAAAACAAGCAATTAAAATGGCAGAACTGCAAGATGGATAACTTTTTTTAAAGGTAAAAAAAAATGGTGAAGCAGGAGAGAAACAAAAAACCAGAGAAGTTTATAGTTAAAACATCCCAGTGTTTTAAAAAGGCAGATTTAATATATCAGAATAAAAAAACACACACACATACCAAGGTTCGGGAAAGTATTGAGCCTCTAGATCAGGGATGTCCAATCTTGGCAACTTTAAGACCAGTGGACTTTAACTCTAGTGAAGGTGAAGTCCACACATCTTAAAGTTACCAAGGTTGAACACTTCTGCTCTAGGTGTTTGGAATACAATTCTCACCATCCGACAATTGGCCACACAGAAGAATGTATGGGTTTGGATACCAACAACTGGAAGGCCCCAGATTCTTCGTCCTTGCCTTTAGTCCCTGGCACACGCTAAGATGTTTTTGATAAATCTGTTGCAGAATCTGGGAAGTGCCAGTATAAAGGCTCTTTCTGCAACTGCCCCATCTCAACTGTGGAGGCGTAGGAAGAACCCTTTATGCAGCTCTCAATCTCAATACTCAAGAGATTCCATGGCCCTCTGAATGATACTTTGAATATTTTGAATCGTACTAAGAAAACAATGGTACCTGGAAGGCAGCAGCTTTGTTTTCATTCTGATAGGATGGGGGTTCTGGTAGTTGCAAGCAAGAACCCAAGCAGCAGTTCTTATTTTGAACACTTTGCATACACTTTCAAGATCTTCCTACATGCTACACATATCCGATCTTATCGGTTGGTCAAAGTATCTTGTTGATGCAGCAGCTTCTGTTACCAAGTCAAGATAGGTGTAAGGGCAATCCTTTGATACCAACCTTCCTACCCAACCCAGCAACTCAATCCTCAAGGTAGAGCAACTAGTCAGAACTAACCCTCACTTCTAAGTTGGATTTGTAAAATTCAGCATGCATTTTAAGTGCATTAAATGTGAAACAGTGTTGGTTTGTTCCTTCCCATCTTCTCCTATAGCCATAGCAATAGTACTTAGATTTATAAACTGCTTCACAGTGCTTTGCAGCCCTAAGCGGTTTAGAGTCACATATTGCCCCCAATAATCTGGGTCCTCATTTTACCACCCTCGGAAGTATGGAAAGTTCTGATGCGCTGGCTGTTCTGTCTGACACACAGAAAAAGGAGTGTGTGCCAAGATGAGTCATTTATTTTTTAGTCTTGGTTTCTGGAGTTATTTTTCAGGGATTCTCATGCAAGTTTGCACAACAGGATGCTGCTTCAATAGAGCAGAAATTGCCAAAGATGAACATTAAATTTCAACACCAGATTTAAGGACAGTCCTCTACCAATCATAACCTAATTGTTAGGAAAAGGTGCACCCTTTGTCACCTGTGCCATCTACTTACGCTATTTTATTTCATACCATTACTGACTTTGAGTTTCCTGTGGGTACAGAGGCAAGTATACGTTGAAGAAATAATCAAATTAAGCAATAATTCTTTGTTTCACTTATGTAAAGAGATATTGTGACATACTCTGCTTTGATTATGTTACTTTTGATCGTATGTTTTGCAAAGTTAAACCTCCAAATCTAGTGCCTTCCAGAAGTATTAGCCCAACTCTCCTAGTTCCCTAGCCAGCTACCAGCCTGACCTTTGGGAGATAGGAGAATTGGCCATGATGGATAGTAGAGGGGGGATGGAAGAAGGAGAGAGTTGGGGTGATCCTGTATTGTTATTAGAGTGGAACTTTTTGGCATTTATTTTGGGTTTGTATTAAAGAAAAGAATAAGTACATTTCACTTTAGGCTAAAAGGACCCAGTCTCTTTATGCTAAAAAAAAAAAAAATCAAATTTGGTCCTATGTAGATACAGAATAATGAAATCTAATATATCCTTTTCCAGGAATGCGAATTTACCTGTTAAAAATGCAGATGGAAATAGTTCCTATCTGGACCTTGAAAACTCTTTTTGTGCTTTTGAAAAAGTGAGCAAAGGTAAATTGCTGACTCCCAGATGGAATATTTAACTCAAACCTTAATATTCTGTGGTATCTAATTTATTGTGGTATTTGGTATCTTTAACTCCTTGCAGGAAAATCTGATTAGCCTGGTCTTGTTCTATGGAGGGGTAAAGAATGCTGGGAACAGCCCATAAGATAACAACTTATCAACAGTTCTTTCAACTTCAGTGTTTTCCTACCAGAACTAATAGGATTAAGTCTGAGGGAAAAATGGATATTAAACCAATACTTTTAAAAATCTATTATTACATTATTTTATGTAATCTTCTTTCAATACTAGCAACACCAAACATTCATTCTTGCTTAATATTTTGAATATTGCTTTAATGCCTTCTTCATATTTTTTGCAAGGTATATTTTATACAACAGCATCACAATGTTATCAGCCTTTTCCCAACATAACTCAGATTGCCCATTCAAACGATACTCATTTTTTATTTGTTCCTGAGCCATCTTTCATTACTTGCAAAACAGCTTGCAAGTCAGGGAATAGTAAGTTCGTGAAGATTGCCATAAAAACTTAACATTAAAAATAATCCTAGCCATAAATAAAGAAGCAAGAATTTTAACACTTGAGCACCAAGAAAGTCAACAGGACAATATGCAGAAGTCAGAATCCTTTTGAGCCTTATAGAAACCCTGTGGTAACTGTAAAATATCATCCATTTTTTAAAGAATATCTATGACCTAAACATTGCAGCTTTAGACAATGTACAAAGAATAATTCCAAGTGCTTACACCTAAAATCTAGCTTATTTAAGTCATATATATGTTCTTCATATAATATGAAATGTAAGCTTTTGTGTGTTAATACTGTAACAAGAACTCCTTGATTTTTGGGGGCATAAGCGCATCCAGCTAGAATAACTTTGTTTATAATGGCCAAAAACAGGAATGCAAAAGTTTGATGAGAAAAAAACAACAGACAATGATTGCACAAGAGGATGTAACTTAGGGCAATCTTTCATAATTTCAGTTTCTTCAAATATGTTAGATCCTTTAGCTGAGAATTACTGTGGTATATAAAGTTGGGAACGACTGTAAGCACCACATAGACTCTCACAGGAAATCATAAGCTTAGGTCATGCAGTTTTTGGTACTGTCTGGATGATACTGAAGTCCAAACTCCCTGCAATTCCAGCCAACATGCTCAATGGTAAAGGAATATGGGAATTATACTTCAACAGCACCTGGATGGCAAAATGTTGCCCAACATTACAAAGGCTGATTAGGTTATTTTACAGACTATTGTTACCTGCAATCCTGTTTGCAACTCTCTCCATCCAAACAGCCTAGAACCTTATTCCTTCTCTAAGTTGTAATAAAGTAAATCAGTCATTAGTTATCTATTTCAAGCAGAAAGATAAGGGTCTTTCCTGGAATTCAAAGTGTTGGTGGAATCCTGCTTCTACCTTATCTGCAATTCAGCAAACCTTGATGATATTACTATTTCCACAGGACCAATGTTTCCTTCTTTTTGTTTTGTTTTCCTGGCTGAGATTTCCAAAAGCGTCCACCATTGGTGTAACTCAGGGCTCTTCAAAACTTGATGCTTTTATGACTTGTGGTCTTCAACTCCCAGAATCCCTCAGCCAGGCACGCTGGCTGAGGAATTCTGGTAATTGAACTTCACAAGTCATAAAAGGGCCAAGTTTGAAGACTCCTGGTGTAACTGGTCTATATTCCCCACAGCCAATAGACATTTGCTATAGAGAAGGTGCAGTCCCAAATAGTTTTCAGCTAGAAAAGAGGCCTTCTTTTCATTCTGAAAGTTGAAGGCATTAACTTCCTTTAAAAGCTTCCAAGTCCACACGGCAAAGCAAATCTCCTGCAGCTGGTATTAGAGTGGCCTCTGGCGGTAAACTAGAGTCAGTTCAATATTAAAGAAAACCTATACATAGAATTCAAACACTCTTGAGCACAGCAATTTGAGTAAGAGAACTGAAATGAACCTAATTCAAATTCTTTCCCTACACCTTCAAAAACTACTAGTGGTTGCTGTAAACATTTTTAATCCATCCAAGTATCCAAACTCTTACAATTATACTTTCTTCAGCAACTTGGCTGGAGTTTCCTTTCACTGTTACCTCTTCCACACAGATAGTTACTGAGCTGCATGATGAAAGAACATTGTAGCTAATCTATGTTGCAAGGGCACACACAATGCTACACACTGTGTCTCTGTATGGGAGTAATAAGCTCTCTAGAGTTCCAGGAAAAGGAAGTGATGTAAGTAAACAGAAAAGTTCTTAGCATCAAGTGACAATGCAGAAAAAAATAATGAACTCCACCTACCTGGTCCCAAACTTAAACTTTTGGGTTTTTGTTAAATGAAAATCAACTGATTGCAAAGATCTATACTTGCTATTTAACTCTACAGGAGAGAAGGGTCAGTGTTCTCCTTTCCTATGTAGAGTTAATTATCTTAGTTTTTTTAGTCACTTTCATAAAACAATAGTTTTAAACAAGGAACATTATTAGCCCCTCTGCTCCTAGCATCTCAGTATGAAATTACTGCACTAATCATAGAGATCTAATTAAAAGGGCTTCTTTTACTATTCACATTTTTTTAAATAGGAGAATGGCCACAATCAGAATCGAAACTCTGCATTCATACCAGCCTACAGGGAAAAAATAATAATTAAAATAAAAACAAATCCACAAAAGAGCAGCTAGGGTTCATATTTAACAAATGTTTTGGTCTAGTTGCAAACTTCATGGCTTAAAATGTAACCTTATAGGAATCATATATACACCACAGGGTGCTACAGCCAGCTCATGAGAGATGATTGTTGTATTTTCTAGAAGTTTACAAGGTGGTTGAGAGTGGAGCTGAGCCAATACACTTAGCATGTTGATCAGCTGTTCTGCAGGAATGGTGCAGGCAAAAGCCAGTTCTTAAACATTTGCCACCATTTCCCCCTCTCTCTGTCCCCCCCTTCTCCGCCCCCGTGTGTGTGTGTGTGTGTGTGTGTGTGGTGTGTAAATAAATAAAAAGGAGGTCACTTGAGAAATAACTAACTAAACCCAGTAAAGTATTTACTCTTGAATACCCATACCTCTGAACTTATTGCATTCTTTCATTAAACATTCAAATTACAATAAACATAAGTACTCAGAATTAAATAATCATGGTGTCTCATGAATTAAATAATTATTATGGAAATTATACATTTCTCTTATTCCTCTACCGGAGACAGATTTTGCTCCTTAGGATCTCAAAGACAAATTTCATGTTTCTTGTTGATGAAAACAGTCTCAAAGTCTTTATGCTTTTGATATGCTAATCAAAAATGATTTGAAGACTGACATACTTAGTGGATATTTTTGATTATTAGAAATACCCCAAAACTGAGTCAATTTCTATTGCCATTTTAACAGGAGTTAAAAAACTGAAAATAAATTACTATTTCCCATATATATTTATTATATAAAAAGAGATTTGGTATTTTTCCCTATAAAAAAGACAAACATATGGAACAAAATGTAAATATATCCCATGTTGTAAGAATGGTACTTCGTATAAAATTACCCAATCAAACAAGTGGTTGCTTCTAAGATTAAGATAAAAAGACACTGTATATTTTATATATTTCAGAAATTCTTGAAATTATTTTAGTCTTCCAGAACACAATTAAGATCATCATTTAGCAGCAATTGGAAAGACTACTTTTCATAGTTCAGTATCTCATAGTTATGGAGAACAGATATTTAAACAGTTAAACTTTGTTGAACAGATTTGGTGAACCTACCAGTTTACCAGTTAATTCAAAGGCTGTATTTATAAGGCATATTATAACAAATGTAATTAAGGTTTCCAAGTTGTGAACAACTGGCAGAACATTTTTTTTCTCAAATTCATCTAAAACAATTGATCGCTGATAAGAAAATATATCCTTTATCAATTTATCCTCCAAATTGATATCTACAGTTCTTCAGAGAAAAATGAGCATAAAAGAAAAGGTTAGTGTTTCAGTCTTATAAAACATTGGCTATCAATGGCTTTTACAAGAGAGAAATTGTGCTTTTAAGAAATACATTCATTCTTGATCTTTCCAAATATTTTTCTTTTCAGTTTCAAAAAGGAATATATATTTTACTGCTAATCATGGTTGAAATCTCCGCCTCCTTCTAAAGAAAGCTTTTAAGTCCCACTTGTTTGATTCTAGCATAGATGATCCATTGTAGACCAATAATATGGTCATTTTTTCTCCGTAACTGAGATTCTGCAACAGCTGTTAAGAAGCAAGGAAAAAGTATTTTGTTAAACAATCTTATTACTTATTCTTTACTAAGCATACTTGGTTATTAGTTGTTATATACTGAATGTTCCCCATAGCAGCTACATTCCATTTTTCTCTGGTATTGCTATTCTATTTGGGTTCAACAGAATAGACAATATTGCTAGCTAGGTTAAGATAATATATGCAGAATAAATTGTGAACAGTTTCTCTATTGTCACTACTAATTTTCAGCTCCAGGGCTGGATCAATTAAATAAACACTACTATATTAAGATATTAACAGTTACAGCCAAGAGATTTTTTGCTGTTTGCAGAATATATAAATAAAGAAAAAAAAACTATGAGAGATCTTTGGTGCTCTCTGAGCTTGGTTGTTGAGCTACCTTTAATTGAAAAAAATAGTATACAGGTAGTCCTCGACTTATGACATTTGAGCACAAAATTTCTGTTGTTAAGAGAAACATTTGTTAAGTGAGTTTTGTCCCATTTTACAACCTTTCTTGCCACAGTTGTTAAGTGAATAATCGCAGTTGATAAGTTAATAACTTGGCTTCCCCATTGACTTTGCTTGTCAAAAGGTAGCAAAAGGTGATCATATGATCTTGGGACACAGCAACGGTCATAAGTATGAATCAGTTGCCAAGCATCTGAATTTTGATTATGTGACCATGGGGATGCTACAAAGGTTGTAATTGTGAAAAATGGTCATAAGTCACTTTTTTTTAGTGCCATTGTAACTTTGAACAATTACTAAATGAACTGCTGTAAGTCGAGGACTACCTGTATATGCACAAGCAAAGATTAACAAAATAAAAGGCTAGGAAGAAATACAGACTATTAAGATTTTTTTAAAAAAAAGAAATTGGAGTAATGCCAGTAAACACGTTTCCTAAAATTCTTGCTAGAAAACAAAGAAGCTTCAAAATAGTTTGAAACTAGTATTCTGGGAAGTGGACATTCGTAAGACTATCAGTAAAACAAGCAATAAATTTGGCAAAAAGTTGATGGCAGGAATAGCTTCCCACAGGATAATTTGTTTCAGTTTGTATATAAACAAATTATCTTGTGGGAAGCTATACCCTCCATCAACTTTTTGTCAAATGTATTGCTCCTTTTACTGATAGTCTCATTTCCTCTCCAAATACACCAACAATAATTGTTTACGGATATATTCATGGGGCAGAATTGTTAGGGTATATAGGCAGTCCTCGTTTAACAATTATGACTGGGACTGACAACATAAGACAGCAACTGCTGTTTTCTTGTCAGCATCTCCATTGACTGCTTGTTGGAAGCCAGCTGTGAAACATGTAAAATAGAAGTCATATGACTTCAGGACACAGCAACGGTTAATAAACGCCCACCAGATGTAAAGTGCCCGGATCTCAATCAAGTGTGGCTGCAGGGATGCTGTGACAGTCATAAATGTGAGGACCTGTCATAAAGTTCCTTTTTCAGCACTGTCATAACTTCAAATGGTCACTAAACAGGACAGTTACTAAGCAAGGACTACCTGTACATAGTTACCTGAGAGTTAATTTTATTACATTCAGGGATGGTAATTTCTGATTGCTTACATTTAATTTATAAAACAGCTGGAGTTTTAGCAAACATTTTCAGTATGCAGCCTTTGAGCATCTCTTGACTGGGGTGGGGGAGAGGAGATGATGTAATATGCTTGGGGATATCATCACATAAATGTTGTAACCTATTCATTTGGGTCAGGAAGATTTTGCATTTACAAGATGATGTTATTCCTGTGGAGGCCACTATTATCTGCCTTGCTATCAAAGAAGTGGCCCTAAACAAATACCATGGAGTAGAATGACATCAAGAGAAAAGGAAATAACTGTTCAGACTCTGCCTGTCAATCTCTCATTATTTAATTTCCTTTCTTCTAATTTGCCAAGCCATGATGCTTGGCTGGGGACTTCTGGGAGTTGAAGTCCACAAGTCTTAAAATTGCCAAGGTTGGACACACCTGACTTAAAGCTAAGCTTTATATGTTTTTGGCTATCAGTATTACTTATTTTCTAATAAGCAAATCCAAATTTAGAATCAGAAATGAGAATAACTTTCATTGTCTGTATTTTTTAACAGAGTGATCATTCCCTATTATTAGACCAATACATAGTGTTATTAGATGGGATAAAATAATAATAATAATCAAAAAATCTGCAAATTGACAAAATTTCAATCTGTCAATTGCAAAAGGCTTACACTACACTGATCCTATGACATCCTAGATTCTTGGGCAGAAATCAATGAGTATGAAGGTCAACACCAGTAAAGAACTGGCAGCTGTGACTTCACATTATTATGCACAGATAATAATAATCAATATGAACTCTTCTCCAAATTAAATTGATTCAGTTCTAGCTTCAACATTACAGAAAAAAACTACCTAAAGGAAAGATTAAACATTAAAAATTACATTAAGGTTGAGTATGAATGTACATACTATTTAAGCAGCTGTGGATAGAATAAAGCTGATTTATAATTTGATTTGTGCAAAATGGAAAAAGATAAGCTATAGACGGGTTTGTCTGTACAAAATCTACATAAGATGCAGAGTTTTCAGCCACACACCTTTGGTGTAATAAAGAAGTATTGTGAAGTGCTCTTTTTGCAGGCATTTTCTACTACCACATCAAAGACTCTCCTTTCATTAACTGGATCCATTCCCTGTAAAGAAATAAACAGCAATATTTCTTCTCTGCTACTGAATACAGTGAAGGAAGCTTTTGTTTCCAGTATCAGCATATATTTACCTGATTTATTTCATCAACAACTCTGAAAGGGCATCTGTTGAGTTCTTGCAAAGCCATTAAATACAATATTGTGGAAACGCTTTTCTCTCCTCCACTCTGATGGTATGGAGTCAATTCATGAAGTTGCGTGCTGCTACGGAATTTGACCCTAATCCGAATCCCGTACTTGTCATATTCTTCCTGTCAAAACACAAATGCCTGTGTGTTCAGAGATTTTTAAATATATATAATCCCTGACTTAATCAATTGAAAAGAGAAAATACCACATCAAAGCAAGGTTTGCACTAACCATAACTCAGAAGCCAGATCAAGTGCTGAGCTTCCAAGCATATGGTAAACAACAGCCGCACATCTTGATATCAATCTCTAATTTGCTCTCATTTTAATTCCTGATGACTGAGCTAACTGATGATTGCGCTTCTGCGGGTCCCGAAAGAAACATAACTATGGTTCACTGTTCAGACCCTGCAGACATGATTTCAAAGTCGGGTGGCAAATCATAGTTTGTCAGTTCTGATATCCCAGTTAAATTATAGTTATGCTTCCCCTAAATTCCTGTTCAGGTATTCAGTGTGGGCAAGGTACTGAAATTATAAGTAACACTGGACCATACACAACATTGTTGTCTTTCCCCATGCCACTCCCTAGTCCAGTGTTTCTCAACCTTGACAATTTTAAGGCATGTGGATTTCAACTCCCAGAATTCCACAGCCAGCAATGCTGGCTGTGGAATTCTGGCTGTGGAATGCTGGCTGTGGAATTCTGGGAGTTGAAGTCCACATGCCTTAAAATTGTCAAGGTTGAGAAACACTGCCCTAGTCTCTATGCTGTGCTAAGTTTCAATCCTGCAGGAAGACTTCATTCATGTGAATGTGAATGAAGAACAAGATTAGGGAACCAGGTGATGAAGTCAGCGTGCCCTTTACACCCAATACTAAGCAGGCCTTCTATCAATGGAATAGAATAGCTGGAGATCCATGTTGAAGCTGCTTTAAACTCCTAAGGAAGGACAAAAAGGACACAAGCACAATTAAGAAACAATGCAATACAGGTAGACCTCGACATACAACAGTTCATTCAGTGACCATTTGAAGTTATAATGGCACTGAGAAAAGTGACTTATGACCACTTTTCACACTTAGGACTGTTGCAGCATCCCCATGGTCACTTGATTTACATTCAGATGCTTGACAAGTGGTTCATATTGATGATGGTTGCCGTGATCCAGGATCATGTGATCCCCTTTTGTGACCTTCTGACAAGCAAAGTCAATGGGAAAGCCAGATTCACTTAACAATAGTATTACTAATTTAACCACTATGGTGATTCACTTAAACAACTGTGTTATCGTAAAATGGGGCAAAACTCAACAGATTTCTCACTTAGCAATAATTTTGGACTCAATAGTAAGTTGAAGACTACCTGTATTAGCAACAAAAAAATAAACACATATTTTGCATATTGTTCAAATGTTTCCTCAAACCAATCTTTAAACTCCTGAACAATAAAAATATTTCCCTATTTTGCATAATTTTCAGAATAAGTACCGTTATTTCCGGCGTATAAGACGACTCGGCGTATAAGACGACCCCTGACTTCGGCGCCGATTTTAACGCTTGCAAAAGTCGTCTTATACGCCGGAAAGTACGGTACTCCCTTTATTTTTCTCTTAAGTTGGTGCCTTAAGTTGTTGCTGGGGCAACTGTTGCTAGTGTTTTCTTCACCTGCTGAAGAAAAATCCAGCATGGAAAAACAATTCACCTTGCTTGTTATCAAAGCCAGGTATCTCACTGGGTACTCGCAAGCAAGTCTTATGTCAGTCAGATGGTTTGTAAATTTCCTAGCAGTTCCTCCAGTAAAAAAAATGAAAATTATGTCAAAATGCGTTATTTTTCTTTAGAAGAACAGATTGCTTCTTTCTAACTGTGGTTTTCTGAAGTATCATCTATGTATTCATACATATGGATTATTTGTGCGCAACCCTTTTTGATAGCTGAGGTGGACTTTATAATTGGAGACAGGAACCTACTATGTATGAATGGAATGCTATTCTATAACAACTTGCCACGGCCAATTCGCCACGGCCAACTCACTGTAGCCTACTCTGTGTAGCTAACTTGCCGCAGGACAACTTGCCATGGCCAACTTGCCATGAGACAACTTGCCACAGGACAAGTTCCTTTCATTATTCATCAAAACATTACAAAAGCTGGTAGTCATTGGAATGATTTCCTTTGATACAAGAGATAAAATAATTTTGATGAAAATGTGGTCAACAAAAAGAACTAAGTGAATCCCCTGGCAAGTTGTCCTGTAGCACGTTGGCTGCAGAGAATTGGCCACAGCAAGTTGGCTGTGTTGACGTGTCCGTGGGGAATTGGCCGTGGTGAGTTGTCCCATTCTGGTTCTTGCCTCAATGCCCTTAAGGCCACTGCAAAGGGAACTGTAAGGGAATGGATATTCACAAAGTACTTTAGATGGGAAGGAGGATGGTTTTATGAATACACGGATTACCACTTGAAGATCCAGCAGCCTGTACATTTTTATGGTATGGATGGATGGATAGAAAGTCTTTTTTAATGACTAGGGGCAAGTAACACCATTAATTTAATACTGCTTTTAGGACCAATAAGCTCCTTACTCCTATATGTTGACAAGGTCAGAAAACAGACAAAAGCTGAAACTCTATAAACCAAGAACAAAAGCTTGAAAGTTTCACTGAGTTTTGTCTTATTTGTCTTATAAAAAAGATAAAGTACAGTTATCTCGAGTTTCTTTCTCACTCCCTTCTCTTTTTCAGGGCTGACAAGGTGTTTAATTAATCACTCTTACATCCCTTGTTCAAGGCTACGTCCATATATCTCTATATGGCCATAGGAAACATCTCAGTTACATGGATGCTACTGTAGTAGTAATGAAGTTGATAAGTTGACACCATGACTACAGACCACAATTGTATCAGAAGGATGTCACAATTTGAATGAGTTCTGATGCCTACAAAGGGCAATTCCTTCAACAACTGATAAGATAGGAAGATTGTTTTGACTATTCAACCGACAAATTACCATGATAAGACCTCTTCCATTCCAAGAAGCAGACAAAGATGGGCTTTAATAAAATAAAATAAAAACTGGGCTATATAATGCATATCCCAGTACACCAGTTACACTTGGCATCTAAAGATTGTAAAATTCTTTCCAGTAGTATAGCTGGTGATAGGAAGAGTTTTACCAAGATTATATTGGAAAAAAATTCAGCATCATAGGCCAGTGTTTCCCAAACTTGACAATTTTAAGGCATGTGGACTTCAACTCCCAGAATTCCACAGCCAGCAACGCTGGCTGTGGAATTCTGGGAGTTGAAGTCCACATGCCTTAAAATTGTCAAGTTTGGGAAACACTGTCATAGGCAAAAGACAGACATTTGAATTATTCGGGTACAGGGATGAGCATGAAAAGTTCAGACTTCCCAGCAACAGCAACTCCAGGCTGGGTTTCGGATGATAAAAATACTGTATTTGTGGCATTGTTTCCCAAAAATATGTGACAGAGTTGTGAGAATTAGAGGTGGTGGCAAAGGAGATTAAAATGGGTTGAGATTGGAAAAAGGCTTGAGAAAACCGTCTGTGTCAACTATAAAAACACCAACAAATTCTGAATGGAGCAATGGCTGGAGGAAATAGCCATGAGGTAAACTTTTACAGACAATAGGAGTAATTTTTAGCACTTTTAGGAGAGAAGAAAACAGAAAATTAAGTCAAGATGACAGAACTTTGACTGTCTATCACTGATCATGGCAAAAAAGTTTAATTGTAAGACCAGTGTGATGTTTGCTGTGAAACTAGAACAAAGGAACCACACAGCAAGATAGAGGGAATAGAGATTTGTTGACATGTATTTCCTTTTGCTCTGAAGTACAAAATCTGCCCTATTGGTAAATAGGTGAATGTTCTGCGAAACAGATGGAACAGGTATGATAAGCTCAATCACCAAAGTGGTATCAGGAAATTAGCAGAGTCACCTGGTGGTGATGGCAGCAAGGAAGACCGGTAGAAAAGCAGAGTGTAGAAAGGCAAGGAGGAATTGTGGAAAATCTTATATTCAGAGTGATGTCCTGGACTTTAGGTCAGACACATGCACCTTGCAAAAATAAAGGATTGCACATCCTGTTCTGAAGCAGAATTGGCTCAGAAGGCATCACTGCTAGTTATATGGATCACAAGAAGCATAACGGCATTTTAGGATGCATTAATTCTAAAAGAGAGCGGTACATACAGGAAAGTCTGGGATGAGCAATAAGTGGAAAAAGGTGGCTGCAGTAGTGATGGTCCTCATATCTTGGGGAAAGTCATGTGTTATTGCTGAATTATAATATCCAAGTGAGGAGGAATTGAGATGATGGATATAACAGAGAGATAAACTTAGATAGTTTCTCTTTTTAAAGTCAGATTTAGCCATCCAGCAAGAGACCCTTAGTTTTGTATTTCTTTGGTCCCTGCAGTATTTCAGTCAACCAATCCAACGAGGTGCAAAGGACTGTTAGGCCAACCCAATGGATGATACCAAAGCTATGTGCCATGCAGATAATGGCTGCTTAAGGCCAAGAAGGATGTGCCCAGAGATTCTAAGGAATCAGGCACTACTGCTAAGAAGGCTTTTCCCCAGAGAAGCACCTTGATTACAGAAGAGTGATTATGCTATATCTGCTCAATTTTTGCCAGTGGTGGCCATAAGGAAGAGAAACTGGCTGTCTATTAACAGGAACTGACTTTTGCAAGCTGGGCAGAAGTGGAATGCAATCCACAAAGCCAAAGATTTCAGACAGTTTGAATGAACAACTGAAGCACCTGGGAAGACCCCAAATCAAAGTCCAAATGATGATAAATGCCATGAGAAAAAAAGTGAATGAAACGGCCAGTTTTCTACAAAGTGTACAGAATTCTTCTGATATTGTTACTCCAATGCTCAAAAAAATACTGTAAAGCAGACAACTTATAGTATGTGCTTTTTTCCAAGACTTCTGAGTTATAGTAGATTAAGACTCTATGCTGACACATATGGAGAAAGTATGAACATGTCTAGATTTTTGGAGTCTCCAGGCTTTGATCAATACCACTATCTGCACTACTTTTTATTTTCAAGTAATCAGAAAAATTGCTATGATGAATGAACTTTATTGTCCTCCCAAAATGAAATGCTTATTAATATGGCAGGTAGATAATAGTAAATAGCACGTGTATACTCAAAGTATTTCTATGAGTACTTATGGATTCTCCCAAGAGCTTCTTATTGCTAGAAATGGGGCTGAGGCTAAGAAGCATTCTTGGTGGAACATAAGGTTTGACTTGAAAAGCATACCAATCTGACTTAAACCTGTTTATTTATTCATTGTATTTTTATGCTAACATTTCTCTTTCAACTCAGAGTGGCTTATATGAACAATTCCCTAATTTATCACAACCACAGTAACATAACAATTTGGTGAGAGAAGCTGGGTAGATTCAGAGTCACCCAATGAAGTTTGCAATTCAGTTTTCTAGTGCAGAGTTGGGCAACTACAGCAACTTTATGACCTGTTGGACTTCAACTCCCAGAATTCCTGAGCTGGCCCATGCCTGCTCTAGTGACTAAAAGTGTATATGGCAGCCATTCAATAATACAGAAGGAAGGTACAATCAGAGGTACCATTGAAGCTGAACCTGCCTTCTTTGCCTCATATATTTGGGTTGACAATGAGCTTTTTTCCTTAGTTATATTCTAGATATAGAATTATAGAATTATATATATTTGTAACTGCATCTATTTACTTTGCTCAACAGAACTCAATTAGGCAAAGTGAGCCAGACTATATTTGGATTACCCTACTCCTTTCATATGCATCATTACTTTTTACTTATGGCAAAAGATGGTCACTGATGCCTCACAGATGCTTTAGAATGCAATTTGCATCAGTTCTGCCAACATGGCCAGGAGCAAAGGAATGTGGAAAATATAGTCCAAAACATCTGTCCCCAAATTGATGTGCTACTAGGTAGAGCTCTGTTAGTTTTTAATGTAGAGGGAGTATATTAAGTGTTGCAGTTGAAGCCAGTTAAAGTTGCATCGTGTCAACATTATTCACAGACCTTATGCATGGACTGCCAGAATTTAACTAGGAATATGATAATTTAATTTTTTAAAGTGTTTATATATTCCAAGGAAACAAGCTTTTGCCTTGGATAGTTTTTTTCTAAATGACAGTATACAAACTTCAAAAATATGCACCCTACTGCCCATTGTTTAATTGAAAATGTATGCATGTGGGAGGTGTTTTCTCCTCTATAAAGGAATGTATCACTTTTATAATCATACCTCATTTTCTGTATGAAGATCTATCTCCCCTGCACATTGCATAGAGCTAAAAAAGCTGCTGAACTTTTCATTTATTTGTTCAATCATCTGTTTCAAAGGGTTCAGCCACCTTTCCTTAACCTAAAAAAAAAAAAAAAACTGGTCATAAGAGAAATGACAATAAAGATTCCATCACCAGTAGTACAGAAGATGCTGAAATTAAGCATTCAATATATCATTAATTAATAATGATCTTACTTACTTACCTACCTGCATAGTGATCAGACATTACAGATGCATCCAGGCTCTGAATTACTTATTTCAAACTATTCCATGCATCAACATTGCTTCATGGAAAGTAAATGTAGGCAATGTTGTCTTGTACCATCTTGATTCCGCGTCTTCATAGTGCATTTTGGTAATCTTCATGGGCATCAATAGATACCATCATCAGGTTAATTTATTTATCAGGGGCCACTAGGTAGTGAAACTCCCATCCCATCTCTGTTTAGACATATTAATGTACACAAGGCCATATTGCTCAAGTTTGCTCTGCAGTTGGCCGCCTTCATTTCCAATCCCCCTGCTACCTAGTAGGAATGAATGCTAATGTTGCCACATTATGGCTGGAATAGACTGCAATTCCACACTAATTTTGGAATCAATGGCTTTGCGATCAATCCGTAAAAGGTTTTCAGAAGAGTCAGGCTTTAACAGCTTTCCAAAAGGCATTAAAACTGAAAGTCATCCTGGCTTCAGGAGGCAAGCTGAAATGCTTGGGTAGACAATTATAATTTACCTTATTTGGTTCTTTTGGCCTTTATTTATTTAATAAGGAGCATGGTGGTTCATGTGGTTAGGACGATGGGTTGGAGGTTAGCAAGCCCATGTTTGAGATCTAAGTGCTGCCATAGGGCAGGGTGAGCTCCAGCTCCTGCTGGGGACATGAAAGGAGCTCCCAACTGAGTGTCCCCTGGGCAACGGTGATGTCATTGGCTAATCCTTTTAACCCAGAAGCATCTCAGTGCTTCTGATACAGCTATGATACTATTAATTGATTGATTGACTGGATTTATATGGCCACCCACCTACTAGAGTGGCATAGTGGCCTAGAGGTGGAGCTCTCGCTTCACAATCAGAAAGTTGTGAATTTGGCCCTAAGCAGCGGGAGATATTTCTCTCTCTGGGCGCAATGAATAAAAGTCTGCTGCAAACGTAGCATAGGTGTCAGGAAGGTCATCCAGCCAGTAAACGCTTGAGCTCCATTCAGTTGCCCCGACTCCACACCGATGCAAGGGATAGAGTTGTTCAAAGAAAAAAAAATGGCCATCTATTTACCCTCTGGGCAACCTACAAACAATTTTTCCTTGTATGCTTTTATATTTGTTGATGATTTCAATTTATATATCTACCTGTCTCACTAAAAGCAATTCCAGGCAGCACACAACAAATGACAGAATTTTCCAGCCAATTATCATTTATGCTGTATCTTACAATGTAATTCCTTTATGGATATTTATTTCAGGACAAAGAGAATAGTGAAAGTAACAGTAATAATGAGTACCTGTGAAATATTTCGCCTATAGCTGTCCAGCTCCTTTTTCTTTTCCTCCAGTTCTATTGTCATCTGTGCTATTTCTTTAACTCTTTTATTATACTCTTCAACAACCTGGGAAGAAAAAAACTGGTTTGGTTAAAGGGCATTATCTTTTGAATGGACAATGCAGAACTTTAGCTATCCACATCTGAAGTAAAAATACTGATTATTTCCTCACACACTAAGATTATATTAAACTTGGTAGCTCGTTTGCATATTATTATCTCAAGCAAGAAGAATCCAAGGTTGTGTCTTATGAGAGTATAACCATACCTAACGTTGACTTATTATGTTCTAAATAGGATCTGCTCTGATCAAATACAACACGGTTGCAGCAATAATTTTTTTGAATTAAAGGAAATGTACGGTTGAAAAGCTAACTTCTGCCCACATTTCTTTAGTTCTGTACAATATATTATAACTGAATACTGTTTGTTTTCTTCAATTGTGGAAACGTATCTGTCATTCAAATATGATTGGGGGAAGGTGCTACGAAGAGATTGCCTTTAAAGTAAAACTGGGTCTCGTAAACTAGCTCTTTTTTCCTCATTTCCTAACCTGTTTTTTCTTCTTCATTTTTAAAAGAACAGCAGCACAGAGTATATTTGACCTTGAACAAATTACTTGGAATTCTAACGGTATTTACAACACATTATTCCTGCTACTTAGCTGCTGCCGGCCACCAAAGACTATGATTAATTTTTACATAATGCACATAATATAGTATAATGCAATACTGCATTGGGAGTACATACTGAAGCACTGAGGCCTGTGAAACATGAAGCTCTTGTTTTCTCCTCATTCAGCAGAGCATCAATTTCATCTACTGTATTTGGAAGGTCCAGAAATGCCTAAAAAGATGGAGTAAAATTTGTGTAAAATAATTACTCTGCACAAGCATCTGTTGATGTTTACTATGTTCCTTTTGCACACGCATGGCCTTTTTTCTACAAGGCCCTAGCTGCTTGCTTCTAGTTTGTGTCTCGCTGCCTTGATACAGATAACCTTTCATAAACATGAGATGGCAGAAGGGAACAACTGTGATAGATTTTCACTACTCATTTTCAAGCAAAAAAAGGGTGTGGAAATTGATTGATTGTAGCATCCCATTACCAAAGTACAACTTCAAGTTTCCTCTATTGCTTGAAGTGAAAAGGGGGATTGTTCCGATAATTGTGCAATGCTACCATCCAATACAACTTTAGCAACATGCTATTATCCAGTTGCAAAGTTGTGATGCTTCTTATCACGTTCTTCAAAGAATAAAGGAACGACGTAGTCAGCGTGGTAAGTGACATGGTGAATTTCTGATAAGCTATTGATTCCACAATTTTTTGGGATAAGTTACGCTGCCAGATAAATGTTTTTGGACTTCTGCTACATATACAAAAATACAGTTGATCATGACTAATAGAAAAATAAAGAGGTCCTTGTGCAAGGTTCAAGAGAAAATAGAAAAATAAAAGGACTATTTTGCAATAATGCCTACAATATTTCAAGGAAATCTTCAGTAGTAGACAAGGAATAAAATGTATTATAGCATCCTTCTTTGACCAAAATCTAAATGCATGGTTCCAGTGAAATATCCCTCTTAATAAAGATAAGGACACAGAAATGTTTTTGTTTTCTCTTCTTTCTTAAGAAAGTAATGCTAGCTGATTAAAATCTACTCATCCACTGGAGACTTTGTGGGCAACAAGAGCAAGGATTTGAATGCAATTTGAAGAAATACTAATGGAGAATGATGTTTTAGAAACTTCTGAAATCTGGTAACATTAAATTCTACGTGTCCTTGACTTTTCAATTAGATGAGAGCATAAAAGTATTAAATTGATAACTGGAAACATTCATGAATTTGAAAAACAGCCTCAAGTAGCCTTTGTGACCTAGAGATAATATGACAACTACAGGTAATCTACAAACTGTGGCAATCCTTTGGATTATTTGTGTTTAATAAGAGAAAGGTTTGTCTTTGAAAAAGGTGCCGAAATGAAGTTTCCCAATACTGTAAATCAACTATCAGCCAGATGCTGAGGACCTGTCTAGTAGGTACTTCTGGGGCTTCATGGGCTTTTAATCAAACTGAACATCATCCATACTGCTAGTTTTAATGTTTAAAATCCTATACAACTTATGACTAAAACTGAGCCAAAATTTCCACTGCTAAACAACACAGTTTTTAAGTAAATTGAGCCCCATTTGATGACCTTCCCCCCCTCCCCCCCCCGGCTAGCTATTAAATAAATCATGCGGTTCTTAAGCAATCTGACTTCCTCCATTGACTTTGCTTGTGGGAAACCCGCTGGGAAGATTACAAATGGTGATCACATGACCCCAGACAGTGCAACTATCATAAATACATACCAGTTGCTAAGTGCCCGAATTTCGATCATGTGACCTGGAGATACTACTATAGTTGTGTGAAAAACGGTCATAAATCACCTTTTTCAGTGCTGTTATAACTTCAAATAGTCACTAAACAAATGGTCAAGGGCTATCTGTAGAGTTTACTCTCTGTATCTATCTATGAATGAACATAATCTTTTGAAGTTTTCTTGGTATTTTTGACATCTAAAGTAAGACCAACTAGGGAAAAAAGGCATTCTTAAGTGTAGGCCTTTTAGTGCTTATAGAATCTTATTTAATTTTTAGATCTTTACATTCAACTGTGTCTAATACAGTTGTTTTAATTGTTTTATTCCGGTCTCATTGATTTCAGGGCAATTTTGCATTTTGAGCTTATTTTACATATACTATAGGTTTCTTGGGAAAAAGATTGAAGAGTACTGTGCGTGTGTGTGTGTGTGTGAGAGAGAGAGAGAGAGAGAGAGAGAGATCTTTTTACTGTGATATTTACCTTATAGACATCTTCTGGAAGGTTTTGATCCATACCAAGGTTACAAACTTTTTTAGCAGTGCTCAGTAAACCTTTACACTTCATCAAAAGAGAATTCTTCTTTACATCCAGGTCAGAAATTTGTTGCTAGAATAAATAGAAGAGATTAAAACAAAAGGCTAAACTGTGTTTATGAAAGCTTTACTTGCTTCAAGAAAACCTACGGTAGTAAAACATTTATCAGAGTTAAGCCTTCAGAATATACAATACACCAATTAATACAAGTCCAGCAGTAACATCTGAGGCTGTCATGTTAGTTTGTTATCAATCTGCGATGACAAGTACTTGACAAACTACAATACCCGTGATATAAGACAAACATTTGATAAAATGGTCATCAACTCATATAGATTTAATTCAGACTATTCTTCAACGATAGAAATTACAGATGAAGTTCCCTCAAGCCAAGGCAGGCTATTTGATCACTTAGCCCAACATTTATGTATTGGCAGTGGTTCTCTTGGGGTCAGCCTTATTGCCTCGACAGATATATGCCAGTGGTATTTTTTAAGATGCCCCATTCTCTTCTAGGAAGAGATGGACCACAAAAACATCTAAAGGCTGGATGAAGAAATTTCTTGAATCTGACAGATTAAATCATTTGAAACTGCTAGGAGCTGTACTCCGACTGGGCATGCCTATTTAACACAAATGAATCACAATATTATTTAGTTAGTTGGAAAAAATTTAGATCCTGTAACTCTTGATGCAGTAGACAGGATCCTTGGGTCTGTTAACCTGGTCACCTGATTATTCGATCCATGTCACCTCCTGGTGTATTTTATTTTTATTCATTTATTTATTAAATTTAAATGCCCTCTAGCTTACTGATAAGGCAACTGTGGGTGGCTTAATAAATGGTAAAAAAGATAAATATAAAAATTAAATTTAATTCACAATTAACTTAAATATAAATACAATTAAATTAAATGAAGAAGGTTTACATAAAAATTAAAACCAAAGGGACCGACAGCATAGGGACAAAGTCTTCTTATCCTGCCAACCATCTCCAGTGAAGAATGCCCCATTGGATCCCCAAGCCCACCAACTAAATCGAGTTTAAAATGTACAGATGCATCTATTAAAAGTAGAAGTGCAATCTACATTCTCTGCTTCTCACTACTTAGTTCTTGTTTGTATGGGATAGCTCACATTCAGCTTTCATTCAAAACAGACAATCCATTGAAATTTTTTGTCTTGGATGAATTTTATGAAAAACCAATATGGAAAACTATAGGCCATTCAATATTTTAAAAACAGATCATACCATATGATTTTTTCAGCTACAGGGAAATAATGATAACTAACTTATTGAATCAACTTTTAAGCATCTTTTAAAACCATCGTCTCCCCCCCCCCACACACACACATAACAAGAAATACCCAATTTTATTAACATCGAAACCCCTTTTGGACGTTTTGCATAATCCCCCAAAATGAACATATGATTTGTAGTTTTTATGATTACATAGGACAGACTGTAGAAAGGAGTTGTACCCATAGAGCAAGAGGTAAATTTAGAATTTTACTTTTAATTGCTGTGGAGAAGATCAGAGGCTACTGATTTGTATCTTTCTTCTTTCTTTTCTGTTTTTCTTTCACTTTTTTGCTTAATAGAAAACTATTAAGCTAAAACAAGCAGGCAATTAATGCAAGTTTAGTTTTTGTTTTTAATTTGGAAGTTAGAAAATTCTATAAAAGGCGGGGATTGTATGCTTGGCAGTGACACACACACACACATACACATACATATATATGAAAAAGACACTGGGATTTTAACAGTGCAAGGCAATGCAAAATTGCTAATACAACTTTAAAACAAGTCAATTGCAAGGTCTCACTTGAGGCACAAGAGACCAGACTCAAATTATCATATTTTGGACATGTGCGAAGGCCTAACTTTCTTGAAAAGTCTATAATGCTAGCTAAGGTGAAAGGAAAGTGAAAAAGAGGACAACCAGAAACAAGGAATCAATTACACTGGGTGATGGATGAACCACTGAAAGACTTGAAGGGTCAGGTTGGAGACAAATTATCCGGGAACAGGTCTATGGGCACTGACTTACTGGCACCCAACCAAAATCAAATCCTCAGAAGTCACTGAGGAATTTATTTTATTTTTGCCGTATCAGTCAGATGTTCCCCCAAGTACCTTGCCCAATTCTGGATGCTACATTTTAAGAAGGATATTCAGATAACCTGGTATAGATAAAAGTATAACAATAAGACAATCTACTCAACCGAAAAATAAATTCATGAATAAATCTTATCATTGCCAAGTGACACTTTGATGTATACTTCAAATACCAAGCAGCTGTCTCCCAGATGTGGCCTCTGCCAGCAGAGAGGAAAAGGCTTTGATTAAAGGGCTTATATTAGAAACAGTCAAGATTTTGGTTGAACATTAGTTCTAACAATACAAACAATTTGACAACAGAACAATTATCCTGAAAGGTTTTTGAGTTCTAGATAGTCTTCATACGGCTGATACGTTCTAACTCTGGGTTTCATGAGTCAAGAAAATTGTGACAGAATTTTGTTGTATAAATGAAGTATAAATAGGAGCCCTCTAGTGGTCAAAAGAGAATAGTTCAGCTATTTGTTTATTGCCAATAGATAAATTAATAAATCAACAATTTGGTTTATCTATTATCAGGCCAATCTATTTGAATCGATTCAAATATATTATGAAGAGCTGCCAGAAAAAATAATTGAAATATTAAAATGCCTCTATAGGTGACAATGCCAAATGATTTATTTCAAGCTCAGTTTAGGTTAGTATAGACGTAAACAAAACATTATTTAACACTATTGTATATTAATAAATTGTAACCGGGATCTTTTTCCATATATAAGGAGAAAAACCTGAAGTAGAGATCTTGAATTTTAATCTAGTAGCTGTGTCCCCAAATAACTGAGTACCTATGCTTTGCTAAAATCATAGTATGATCTTAGATTATTCTCATTTACTAAACTTCACATATAGTATTCCCGAGTATGGAAAACACAAAGAATTTTGACTTACTTAAAGATAAACTGTAACTTTTCTGTATAGCAAAAAGGTCATGTTTTCCCACGAATTTGGTGTAAGAACATAGGGAAATAAAAAATCATCCTATTTTACAAAGGCCCAATGCTCTTATACCAACTCTCAAAATAGTACAATATATAAATAATATGGATGTCTATTCATTTATAAATGAGATTCATTCATTTGAAAAAAAAAATAATTAGCCTCATTTTTGTATATCTGACCCAAAGGTAACATAAAGAACATATGGGAATCCCATAAATTATAGCCTTTGTGGATAATTCACTCATTGCTCTGCATCCTGGCCAATGTTGAGTTGATTTTAGTGTTTATATAGGCAATGAATAAATGAGAATTTATGACCTAAAGTGCCACGCTGAAAACCAGAGGTAGGAGAGTTGCTAATATTCATGTGATACTTTTACATCGTGTGTATGATAGCATGCACTTTTGAATACATTTCTAGATTGACAAATATGCAGGAGGCATGTATGCAGATTTGATTCCCACAGAAATACTAACAGTGTTGATGGTGTTACCTAGTTTGGGTAATGAAACATCTGCAAGAAAACAACCAATCTCAGAGAGCACCACTGCTATCCAGCTTACCTTAATCCATAATTTTTGATGTAGAAGGATGAAATTCTTTTAGGAAGCAAAGGAATCCATTATAGGAGTTATTTTTATGTTCATCATTTTGTCCATACAAAGGAAAGGAAACACTAACCTAGTTATTATCTAGGAACTATAATCGATGTGAGCAACTCTCTTATAAATAGGTAACTATACATATATTAGATACATTTCCAAGTTCATTTGTCAAGTAGCAAAATGGAAGGCTTACATCCATAGCTCGTAGTTGTACAGTTGCAGTTCTATATTCAGCATCAAGCCTACTTTTGTGAAAAGTAGCTATTGTGTTCTCTAGCACCAAATTTGTTTTGTCTTCATTAAGGGCCATACAACTCTGCAGAAAATAAATGCAAATGCTGTTTAGGAAAGTTTGCAAATGTTTCAAGCTTCAGAAATTTAGATATTCCGATTATATTACTCCACTTCATATAAAAATTGATCCAATGCAGGGTTACCTATATTATGTATTCATGATTTTCTATTGTCTAGAACAGTGGTTCTCAACCTTTCTAATGCTGCGACCCCATAATACAGTTCCCCATGTTGTGGTGACCCCCAACCACTTATACATCACCGGGTGCCAGGGGCGTGGCCAAAGAAAAGGTAGAAAAAATGGCAGACAGCCTTGTTTGGCGACCCCCGTGAAATGGTTGTTCGACCCCAAATGGGGTCCCGACCCACAGGTTGAGAACCACTGGTCTAGAACCTACCATATCACTGAAACAAATATAACTCTTGCTTTTTTTTCTTTTCTCAACGGAAAATGTATGTCCCACTTAACACTTCTTTAAAAGTAAAATGTTCTCCCCCTCATGAATGTATCCGAGTACTCATCAAGCAAAATGTTTTCTTCCATAATCAATGACCTGTAAATCAAAGAATGTTTTTCATTTCCTGATCCCAACCCACAATTACACTTGTCAAGGGCAAGAGTGCAAACAACAGAAAAGGGAGAATGAGCTCATACATTTCCAGAAAGAATATTTGGGGGAGTTTGAGGTAATGTAATTCTCTGGCAATTTTAGAAAGCTAAGGTGCCTCTTCCTACTGAATTTGAACCAGAGCTAACTTTTGGATACATTTCTAAAGAATGAGTTACATTTATCCAGAAACAGAAATATAAGAATTTCCTACAAATTTAGGAATCCTTCCTTCCTCTTTATAAACCACAAGACACTGTTTTTATTTACCCTGCTAATAGTACACCATTTCTATGTTATCTTCACCTTCATATCTCAACTCATCTTGTTTTCCTTTCCCCCCACCCCCCCACCCCCGGTCATCCTCTTTTTAGATTTCAGTAACTGATTATTCCTATCCATCCAATGAAACATGTTGCATCAGGAAAAGGAGAGAGCGGTTGAGGTTATAAAGTCTGTTGCTAATTTAAAAAAAAAAACCAATAAACTTTTTAAGAAGTTTGAAAGAGAGGCAGGAAGGCTCATTCTTTCTACAACACTCTACATTGCAAATTGTAAGGGGCGGACATAGATTATTTGTAGAGTATATGCTATGAGTGTTGAATGTCCAGCTTCTCCAGGCAAGGCTGCAAAAATTATAGCCTGCAATCAGGGAGAATGCCTGTCAGAAAGCACTGGCAAGATTGAGTTAAATGGTTTGGCTCATTAGATTATAGAATGATCGCCTCCAGAAGTTGTGATGCTCCAATCCTGGAGGTTTTTAAGAAGAGATTGGACAACCATTTATCTGAAATGGTATAGGGCAGGGGTAGGCAACCTTGGCTCTTTTATGACTCGTGGACTTCAACTCCCAGAATTCCTGAGCCAGCCATGCTGGCTCAGGAATTCTGGGAGTTGAAGTCCACGAGTCATAAAAGAGCCAAGGTTGCCTACCCCTGGTATAGGGTTTCCTTCCTGAGCAAGGGGTTGGACTAGAACAGAGTTCCCCAACCCGCTGCTCACACAAATGGAGTGCGCATTTCTGCAGCCCAATCCCGAAAGGCTCAAGGCTCAGCAGTCGGCCGCAGCCCAGAGGTTGGGGACCCCCTAGACTAGAAGACCTCCAAGGTCTCTTCCAACTCTGTTATTATTTTCTGTTCTAGAATAATAGAGTTGGAAGGAACCTTGGAGGTCTTCTAGTCCAACCCTCTGTCCGTGGCAGGTGATCCTATATCATTCCGGACAAATGGCTGTCCAGTCTCTTCTTGAAAATCTCCAGCGACGGAGCACCCACAATGTCCAGAGGAAAGCCATTATAAGGCAGCTTCCTACAGTTTTATCACAGCACTTGTGCTAGGCTGAAATCAGTGTCAAGAACAGAACACTGTTTTATTTGCTGAGGATATTTAGTCTGAGAGCTACTTCGATTTTGGCCGGGTAAAGTAATTCTCTTACCAATTTGCAAAACTACTCAAACATCATCCTGCAACACAGGTCTCAATGGGCAAATTACTTAACATCTGTGATGTTGTAATACAAATACTGGAGTTCAGATCAACACCAGGATTTATTAATTTAAGCTGAACTCAATACTTATCACATGGCAATTAACATGATGAATCACACACTGAACGTCCATCATTAATCGAAAGCATTTGTATTATTGAATGTCACTCAGTGTAATGCTTCTCAATGGAAAGCAGCCGGTGACAAGAATTTAAGATATGAAACATTAACTGTTAATATTAACAGTTAAATATTATCCAAGTTCAATGTATGTGCCAATCACCGTATAAAATAGCAGAGAAGGAAAAAGGACAGAGGATGAAAAAGAGTAATTCATAATTTCAAGGTTTTTATAATATACAATTGCATTAAGAGTATCTCTTCTGTTTTAGAAACTATATTTACCTTTATTAGTCGCATAAAATCAATTACAAGTTTTACTTTCTGAGTGTTAAGTTTCTTAATTGTAGCATTTGCTTGCTCAGATTCTTCTTCCAGATTTATGCCATCCTGTTCCATCTGTCTTAAACTGTATAAAAAAGATTTAAGAGGAATATTTTGGGAATAATTATTACACTCTCCTTTCAACATTACAAAAATGTTTCAGGAATATTTTGGAAAATTACAAAACAAGATTGCTACAGTAGAAAATCATCATCATCATCATTATCATCGTCATTGGAACATGCTGTACAGATGACCTTAAACTTTTGAAGTTTAGTTTAACACCATTTGCTAACTGCACACTAGTAGCACTAATTCTCACTAATGTCTTTAATAAATCTACCCTATCAATTTTCCACCAATTAAGTGAAACTTGTTTAAAACTAGCACATGTTTCTCCACCTAGACATCACAACAGTATAAGCCATCCTTGTCTCAGTTTTCTCAAACTGTATTTAGTTGAATGTTTACACAACGAGTAGGCTCAGGATCACAGCAAAGATATCATAAAAAAATAAAATTACACATTGTATTACCTACAACGTTAATTACCCTGACAGTTAAAATCCCAAGGATCATACAGATAGTCCTTGACTTACCACCATTCATGTAGTAACCATTTGAAGTGACAATGGCATTGAAAAAAGTGACGTATGACCATTTTTCACACTTATAACCAGTCACATGATCAAAATTGGGACACTTGGCAACTGGTATGTAATTATGACAGTTGCACTGTCCCAGGATCATGTGATCACCATTTGTAACCTTCCCAGTTGGCTTCCGACAAGCAAAAATCAATGGGGGAAGTCAGAATTGTTTAATGACTGCATGATTCACTTAACAATGGCAGTGATTCGCTTAACAATTGTGGCAAAAAAGGCTGTAAAACGGGGCAAAACTCACTTAACAACTGCCTCACTTAGCAACAGTAATTGAAGGCTCAACTGTGGTCAAGAACTATCTGTGAAACAGTGGTTCTTAAACTATTTGACACAATCACCCCTTTTCTCTATCCCAAATAATGTCATTATCCCTCCCAGACACAAACACAAAAACTTGAGATCCTGTAGTTTTGCACAAGTGTCTTGGCGGCGGCAGCAGCTCCTAAATTGTATCCTGGATTTACAACAAAGTAACTACAAACTGCAGGATAGGGAATTTGCAGCCAGTCCCCAGAAACCAGGGCTGCAAATGCCCTGTGTTGCAAATACTCCATATCAAAATCTTGCTTGGATTTTGGGACAGACTTTTTTCAGCCAACCTGTTTCAGAGTGAAAGGGCTACCTGCTGGGATTTTGGCCCTGTGCAAGGCAGAGTACCTCCGGCAGGTAGCTCTGTGAGACATGATGCCTCGTTTAATGACCACTTTAGTCAACCACCAACATTTTCAAGCTCAACTGTGCTTGTAAGTCACGGACTATCTGTAAGCACTATGAGGGGAAGATTGGGTGAAGAGAGAAAAATTTTAAGCAAAAATAACAGCCATAAGGTGAATGCTGCTGAAGGGAAGAAACGATCAAGGGAAAACAATTGAAGAGAATCAAAAAATTAAAGAGAAAATGAATATGTAAGTATAATCTAACTTAGTAATATTTGTTTTTCAGTTTTAACAGTTATCTTGTAAGATTTTGTTTTCCCATAAAGGAAACAGAACTACTGTTCTATCTATTCATTATCATAAAGTTGTGGCAGTCACTTCTTTTCCTGAAAGGCATATGGCATTGGATAAGAACTAGATGATGTTTTGGTTTTGCTTTCTAACTTCTATTTTTCTACATAGATTTTAAATAATTGTATATAATATTTAAAGTCCATACCTATCACATTTCATACTAATTTTTGATTCTAATTGTTTCCTTTTATTTTTTCGTTCCAAGAGTTCCTTTTTCTGTTGACGGAGTTGGTTGTCTTTGCATTCTAGGCATTTCTGCTTCTCAGAGAGTAATGCCATTTGAGAATCCAATGATTGCAACTGCCTGTTATTTTCCTGAAATAAGTAGCATAGAAGAAAAATCCCATTTTACTGTGCAATCTTATTAAGGATGTTTGTATTGACTGCTTTAAATTATACGTATTTTCCTCTCATGTTCAATAAAGTAACAATTTACTATTGGATTCAAGTAAACAGACCTGTTCTTTTCAGACACACACACACACACACACACACACACACACACACACACACACGACTATGTGTGCTTTGGACAGAAGTTTTTCTATTAACTCTGCCAATGGAGATTCTGACATCCAGGTCATGGTTGTCCCAAAAGTGCTTTTTCACTTTTCAGGAGTTCAAAGATGGTTCCATACCCATTTGCACCACTCAGGTGACCTTGAGGACACAGATAAACTTCCAAGTGGCCTCAATGACTCTGAAAGAATGCAAATGATCAGCCCGCTGCAAGGAATATAAATCCTTCTATTCCCCACCATCAAGTCAGAGCTGAAGAAGCTTCTTGGATAAGAAGTGAAACATCTTCAAAGAAAAACAAGAAAGTCCAATTGCCTCTAGAAAAAGCACTTTTGAGTTTTCTATTAACAATACAATTGCATAGCCAATCAAAATTAATTCCCACTGAGTTCAATGACCTTTAAAAATGAATCCTAACTAAGATGTATAGAAATGCAACTTTAGTCTATTCATTTATTGACCTAGTGAATTATCTTCCTGCATTAAGCACCTTCTGGAACACGTGTTATTTAAATTTCAGCCACCTACTAAAACTTTTTCTCCTACATATTATCTTACTAACAAATAAGATAGATCATTCTTCAATTATTATATATTCTTGGTAATATTAAGAATTTTAGTAATCTATTTATTTAAGAAGTCCTTAGTGCTTTCTAAGCTTGGTTGTTGTTTGAGGATGTTTCATTACCTAACTAGATAAATCATCAACTTTGATCTACATACATTCTAGTACAATCAATTTAATTCTTTTACTATCAAACTATCGACATTCCTTGCTTTTAAAAACTTGCATTAGCTTTAAAATGGACATACACACAATATCTCGTCTATTATATCTATATGCTCTCCAAGTTTCTCAAAAGATATTCTACCCTGACTACTATAAATAAGCTTCTTAAGAAACACAAATTGGTGTACAATAATAAGTTAGTGAGAAAGATTTAAAATCTAAAATTCGTAACTTAGATTGCCAATATATTTTCAACACAATAATGACTACTAGAAGTCATAGGTTGTAATGATTTGATTTGTAGTAAGGTGAAAGACATAGTGCTAGTAACTGAATGAAAGAAAGATTAAGCGTGACAGCACTTTTCAAAATTTAAGTGTGAAAACAGAGGTGAATAAATCAGCACATTTATTTGTTTGTTTGTTTGTTTGTTTATGAATGAATGAATGAATGAGTGAGTGAGTGAGGTGAGTGAGTGATATTTGAACCTGGACTCTGCTATTTTCAGGATAAAGGCATGACTCAAGATGAAAAATAAGCTAGTTTAAAGTTATCCAATTCTGAAAATATTTTTTCATATCCTAATAGAATTTGTATGTTTATTGTTCTTCATTGTAGCATATGATTTTATCATCATATTTTAGATTTTATGCATCTTTCCTATGGTTTGTCATTTTATACCATTCTGTATTGAATATGTGTGTTTTGTTACTGTGTCTATTCTGGATGTGCCACCGTTTTCAGAAGCAAGATATACATAAAACAGAAATGCTCCGTGACATAGATATAAAGGAAAAGAAAAACTGCTAAGGACAAAGACATTTTAGAATTAAAAACACCCAAAACTTCAAATACAAATGAAATCTCGCGTTCTTGAAACATTACAGAAATTAACTTACATTTTTTTTATCTTCTAACTCTCTTCTTTTATCTGCATCCACTGTAACAGTAAGATACTGTGCTGGTCTCAATGATGTGTTAGTGGAAACAGACTGATTTGTGTAACGCGATATTTTTACTGTGTACCTTTCTTCTGCTGTGTAGATTTGTTTAAGTTTTGTTTCCTTTATTACCTGTACATGAAACAAGTGAAAAGATGAACATAACAGGAAGTAGAGAAGTTATCTGCAGCTCCAGGAAGTCTAGCTGCTGCCAGCTGAGGAACTTCCTGACAGACTGAAAGGCGGTGGATGGTGTATCTTTCTTTGTTATTCTCTTAAAGTTTGGTTAATAAAATTTTTTTTTGGCATTTCACCATGGTTCACTATGGTTTTTTTTCCTCTCAGCTGGCAATAGAGCTGTTCGGGAATACTTCTCACCCTTTCAATCATATTCCTAGTCTTCTCTGTTCCTACAGGAACCTCATAAACATGATACTGATGACACAGGTAATTCATCACAGGGAGGGGAGCATCGAATAACTCTCTTAAGTAAGAGAAAAATCCATATCGGCTGAAAAAAAGAAAGAAAGAGATACAGGTAGGCAGCTTTTCTGTTACTAATAATAACATATTCCCCAAGCAATGAAGCTGAGATGGAAATGTGTGGCAGGAAGCATTTTACATTTACTAAAATAAAAATTAGATGTATGCAGTACAAAAACCAAATGGAGCACCTTTATTTAAGATTTTAATTGTACCATAGGCAATTGTGTTGATTTTTCTAATCAAATAAGTTGATTTTATTTACAAGTAAAAAAAAAAACCTCTTTAATTTCAAAAGAAAACAACAGTAGAAAAGAAGGCATAATGCCATTCTTGGAGTATTTATAGACAGTGAAGAAAGCCAGCTGGATGACCTTGGGCCATTCACTCCTCTCAGCATAACCCACCTTACTGTTGTTGCTGTGGGGGATACAGGAGGAGGAAGGTGTGTTGGGTATGTTTGCCACCATGTTACTTATAAAAATAATAAAGATGGGATACAAACAAGCTAAAAAATAAGCAAGCAAATAGAAACAAAAAGCTATAAAAGATTAAAAAAATCCACCAAGCTCTATATATTATTTTTACACACACACATTAATTTAAGTAATGTCTGATTTTAACATAGGGCTGTATACTACTTACTACAGTTCTTCAATTGGTTTTGAAGGTCTTTTTTCAGCAAATGATTCACTAGGTGCACATACAGCATTCACTCTTAGTTTGCGATTATCCCGCATCTACAATAGGTTGCACCAATAACGAAAATGTGAATTCATTTATTTTAAAATAATAAATTTGATTATTACTAGGGTGTATTATAATATTGCCTTCTGAATCTAACTAAGGATATTCTTTCTGCATTGCCATTGCATACAGGCAGTCCTCGATTACCACTTGCTTCATTTAACAACTATTTGAAGTTATGTTGGTGTAAAAAAAAAAGGTTTTGCGACTAATCCTCGCATTTGCGACCATCACATCACCCCGCAGGTACGATTTCCACTTATGTGCTTCATGCCTGACCTCTGACAAGCAGAGGTAATAAAGAATGTGGAAGTAAAATCTAAGTCACAGTCATATAATATCTTGGTTAACGACCATGGGGATTCAATTAACAACCAAAGCAGTAGTGAGATCATAAGCACATCACGGTCATGAGATATTTCACGTAGCAATCATGGCACTTAGTGACACAGTTGCTGGTACCAATTGTGGGCGTGAAGCAAGGATTACCTGTATAAGATAATTAAATTGCTAAATTATATGGATATTTTTGCTTTCTTTTCAAAAGGTAAGATTATTAACGAAAAATGGTTCACAAGTATTTGAGAATTACTATTAACTCTATATCAGAAAGAGCACTTTTACGTCTATTAAGGAGAGAGTTCTATTAAGATTGGAGACCTGCCTTAGAACAGTATTCATAAAATGGCTTGTAACTTGAACAAAAGCCAGCAATGATTAAATATCCATTTAAAAATCTACGGCAATCTAACAATTAATAAAAGCACATAATGTAGGAAATAGGTTCTACTTTAGTTTGTGTTAAATGAATCATATCAAGAATGCATCCAATTCTGACTGCAAACATTGTAGAGGTGTAAAGAAATACAGTAGGTTACTCTGGAGACAGTGGATTCTATTATTGTGTTTTGACACTATTGAAAAGAAGCTATATCTTCCACTAAGAAAGAGTTTGTTATCAGAACATAGTTTGAATGGTTATTGCTGCACTATAGTTCCAAGTATTTCTCATTACTGATCAGCTGGCTGGTGATTCTGGTACTGTCTATCTTATATCTTTGAATTATTTATTGGCCACTCAAAACATGATTATTCTAAACAAGAAATTGGTATGTTCCATCAAGTTAAGAGTAAGGAAACTCTCTCTCTCTCTCTCTCTCTCTCTCTCTCTCTCTCTGTGTGTGTGTGTGTGTGTGTGTGTGTGTGTGTGTGAGAGAGAGAGGGGGGGGGCTGAAGTTTCAAATATTCATCTTTACTGTTGAACAGAATAGATTCCCCTGCCCCATTCTACATGCCCAACAAGATAAATTTATAAAATATATAATTATAATGTATAGGTGGAAATGATATTTAATTAAGTATTCTTAGTGCCAGTAATGACACATGGTGCTGGATGCCACAGAGCCTACTTATTATTAAGTCCCCTACACCACCAGTTTCTAATCATGTGAACAGATTTTTACCTCTTTTAAAAATATTTCCATATCTTCCTTCATTTCAAAGACAAAGGCCTTCATGTCATTAGCAGAAATGTGATTTTCTACATATTTAGCGTTCTTATTATCTCTCATATTAATCTGTAAAAGAAGAAACTACAGTTACAAAAAGAATTGCATTTAAAAAATCCAAAACTCATTTTTTTTTAAATAATATGCACCATTCCCTCCACATAATACGCTGCTATAGAACAATCATTCATGATTGTGAAAAGCAACCTGCTCTCCAACAAGACCTATACTTAACAGTACCCACTAAGGAAAATAGTTATACTTTGTATATACTGTGACTATGAATGCAAGGAAGCCTTCTCCCCAAGCACTCAACAGATTACAATTTGTGAGCATATTGTTATTATTACCTTCACCTAATAAGCATGATATCATCTCAAAATCAAATAATTAAAAATGTTAATATATCAGAATTCTGACATTTTTGTGAATACTCTTTATAACACAGGCATATAATAAAGCATCAGAACAAAAATCTTTGGTTCTATATTTTTTGTACTTAAGTTTCACGAGACAAATTATACTGACATAGCTAACTTAAGATGTCAAAATGCACATATCCCAGTTGATAATAAAATAATGGATTGCTTAGAAAAGGTTTTAAAAATAAGATTATAACGGAAGTAATGATTAAATTTTAGTAATAATATTAAAGTGAATCAGCTTACTGAAAGTAACACAGGGTCACAGACGCTTCTTTTAAATTGCCCTCTATTCTGTCTTAGCCACATAAGAGCATCATGTGTATCTCGGAATCTCACTCTCAGCTTCTCTTCCTTCATATTCATCAGATTTTCAAATTGAGCAATGCGGTCTGCTATACCTGTAATTTTAATAACCCCTGAAATATTTACTGTAATATATGATTACAAATATAGCCCCCCTCCCATTTTACTAATAGACTGCAAAGACATAACTTAATTAGATATTTTTCTGCTCTTCTAACAGAGGCTACTGTTTACAAGAACTTAATGGAGACTTATGAACTATTCCTGTGAGATCATCCAACAAGAGTTGCTGAATTTCCACAGAAAACAAACATATAGCAAGTGCTATTCAAAAGATGTGTAGCTCTCATAGCAATAGCCACCCTTTTCCTCAACATAAATCTTTCCGTTAGTATAAATTATAGAGAAGACAAAATCCAAAGATGTATTTATATGCTTATATAAATCTCATTCCCCAAAACTATTCCACAACATCTAGCAAATCTTAGAATTTCTATGACTATTCCATGAAGAACCATAATATGAAAAAAATGAATATTAAAGATATTCAGACAGAAATGCTTGGTTGATACCAGGATCCAAAGTTTAGTAAATAAACTGCTTGGATCCTGCTATGGAACAGGTAAGAGGAACATAGTATTTTCCCTCTGGACAGAGTGGGCTAGTTGTTAATTATCAATATCTCTTTATTTGTTTGGAACTCAGGTTGTATGAATAGCAAAAATATACTTTAGCACCTTTACCTTTTCTTTCTTTTAGCAAGTTCTCCCTTTCTCTGCGCAGATCATTTAATTCACCATCAATATTTGCCTTCTCTTCTTCCAACTGTCTAAGGTTGGCATTAAGAGAATTCATTAAAGGCTGAATGTTCTCAGCATTCTCTGTGTTTCTAAGCTCATTGGTCCAATCTTCTATCATCTTACGAGTGTTTTGTATTCTCTTCTGCCGATCCATTTCTGCCTCTCTTTTCATCCTTAAAGCTAGTTTAATATCTTCAATCTAAAAAAAAATGCATAGAAACACTTTCCAGAAATGCCAATAAAAAAGTAAGTTTCCATTATAAAATAGCAAAGACTTGAATATGGGTGATCCCAAACTTATTATTTGCAAACTAAAGTACAGTAAACAATGACTATGGGAAATGATATAGCCAAATATTCAAAGCAAGCATCTGTCTTCTATAACAATGGCCCCCAACCTTTTGGGCACCAGGGACCAGTTCCGTGGAGTGAGGTTTTTCCGCGGACTGGAGGGGTCGTGGTTTCGTGTGCTCCCTACAACCCACAGATGAAGGTTTGCTTGTTTGTGTGGACCGGTTTCTGGCATGCTATGGACTGGTGTCGGTCCACAGGCAGGGGGTTGGGGACCACTATTTTATAATTCCAAGATGCCCACTTCTTAACTAAAATGTATTTTAAAAAAAAAAAGTCAATATACTCTACAATAGATACTGTGTGTGGAATAAAATGATTGTTAAAAATCACCTAAGTTGGATATTCTCAAATTGTGAACTGTGATCATCCAAGGGGTCAAACAACTGGAGGACTGGATGCAAACATCTTTTTGGCCAATCAGGCTTAAACTGGAAAAGGAGCAGCACTATCAAAACCTGCTCCAACTTTGCTAGGGTGCACTTTCAGTGGACTTGGTCTAGAGAAGCAGGAAATCCTGAGTCCTGTACAAACTCTGTCTGCGCCAGCCCACAGTCAGCTTGTCCAGACAAGGGGAAATAAAGACTACAGCAAGTTGATAGAATTAAAAAGTGCTTTGCCTAGGTGATGTACATAAACTCATCTATCATTTTAGGGGGGCACGTATTACACTTTAAGACTCCTGAAGTAACATTTGCAGTGATTATTATTACAGTGAAATTCAACATTTATATTCTTGAATATTGTGACAAGACTGAGTGATTAATACTGCAGACTGCCATTCATAAATTGGACTCCTCTTCTTCCCACTTCACTCCACTGAGGTTGAAGTTTGGCTGATAAGTGAGAGTGGAGAGGAACAAGAACCTATTTTGTCAGGTCTGTCAGCAAAACCATGCTACTATAGCTAGTCTCTCTTTAAAAGCCACCCATTCAGTGATTTTTCAACGTTACAATGGCACTGAACAAGGGGACTTACAATGCTTCCTCATAATTGTGTGTGTGTGCGTGTGTGTGTGTGTGTGTGTGTGTGTAATTAATTAATTTTTGATTGCTCATCTTACCACAGGGTTGCAACTGTCACAGCATCCTTGCAGTTATGTGATTACAATTTAGGTGCTTGGTAACCAACTCACACTTAGGAAAATTCCTGCATCCTGAGGTCATGTGATTGCCATTTGTGATCTTCACTGCTGGCTTCCAACAAGCAAAATCAATGGGTGATCACATGACCATAGAATGCTGCAATCACAAAGATTCACCTAATGATGGCAACTGGAACTACCGCAACTGCCACAAGCTGGTGGGGTCACATTGGAGTTGCCAATCCCAATTACCAGTGTTAAGTGAGACTACCTGCAATGACCTTAAAGTCAAAATCTTTAAGGGAGAAAAAAACTTACTTGTTTGTCTTTTTTCTCCAAAGCATCCTGTTGCTGTTTACATTTCTGAGATGTTTCTTTGATAGCTGCAATCTATATATAAGAGAATTTTAACTTAGCACTGTGTTCTAGTTAGTGAATTTATCAACTAGTATAGCACCAGAAAGCATAAGCTTGCCACATTTTTAATGTGAACAGACTGCATATCGTTTGTTCTTTATAGCTCATGGAGAATAAACTTGATACAAAACTGTAAACTATTATTGTAAAGTTTATCAAACTGCAATTTGAACAGCTGAAGTCTTATGAAACCATTTTAAGGATTCAACATATACTGGAAATATTTATTAAGAAATGATTTCTATTTTGGTAACAGTTACAGCTACTGGACTGCAACCAAGTTTCTGTTTTCTTCACAGTCAGTACTGTACGGAGATATCATAGACTTCCACAAATAGGAAAATAACAGTGAACACTTTTAAAAGAATGGTTAGCAGAAGTTTACATGAATTTGTTTAAGGTTCTAAGCTTTCAACCAGCACTCTAATACTAAAAATTGGAATTAGTTAGCTGTCCTAAGTTATATTTGCTCCAGATGCTGAATGGGACAAAGACACTGGTATAGAACAGAAAACGTATGCCTTTCTATCTTATTTAAAGAGCAGATCTTCTGGTTTGTTGAATTAGAAATTCAGTCAATCTATGATTTCCAAGTCCCAGGGCTGTAGAGCACATTTGGTGGTTTAAATTCTGCTAAAAATAGTTATTGCTTTATCCTAGCAATGTTCAAGTACTGTGATTAATTAGAGATTATCAATGTCATCCAGTGGAAGTAAGATTAATCTCTGATCCAGAATGCTTTTCCATAGTGCATTAATCTTGAAATGAGGACTTGTTGGAAAGTTAAATGGTATGAAATCTTTACTTCTTTTATTTTAACCCTGACAGTTTTTTATAAGCTGTTTTAATTTTAAATTTCATGGCTACATTCCTATAACTTTTGTACGTATATTAATCATTTTGACTTCTATAAGATTTCATGCAAAAGTGATACAATAAATGTAAAACATGCCTTTTCCTTGATTTTGTCTTCCAGTTCTGCACATTGTTGCTCAGCTTCTCTGATCTCATGAATCATAGGAGCCTGGGTCTGTCTCAATATTCTTAATTCTTCTTTCTGTCTATTTTGGGTTCTTTTAGCCTCTTCATACAGCTTCCGTGTTTCTTCATATATCTAAAAAGCAATGCATGCAAAGTAATTAGTGACATTGCACAAACTATAGGATGATGCTAGCTAATTTTGCTACTTTGCTCACATTTAATATTTATATAATTACTATACATTAGTTTGAACCAGAATAATCTAACCAGGCATTACTTAGCAAAAGAAAAACAACTGACATCAGGGGACTACCAGATGGAGGAATGCTGCTTTATACTGCACTATTAACTAAATTTTTATTTGACATTATGATCAGAATTACAACACTGCACAAAATTTAAACACCTGAACAATTTTACAGTGAGACTGCTATTTGTAATACTTGCACAATTGTTTGCTTTTTAACATGAACCACTTGATGGTATATATACACAACAAATACGGATGTCTTGTAAACTTTTCTTTTTCTGATGTTTAAAACAGTTTATTTCTGTCAAGATGATGCATTAAATATCAATACATTTCTCAAACAAGCTGAAGGACACAATGTAGCATTTTAAAAGTATCATGAATTTAATTTGGGGATTATCATTTCAAAGGTATTTTCTTACTTTTTAAAAAAAGAACAGCATATTGATGCTATACAAATCATATTCAATGATTAAATTTAATGTAGCTAATCAAATTCTGGGCTCTCAGACTTTTTTTGGAGTATTCAATAATGTTTATTTAAATAGGCATATCTCAGTTTGCATGAATGTTAAATCATAGAAGTCAAGTTTTAAAATATTACAACAAAATGAAACACTATGACTTTAAAATTGTGTTTAGGCTATTTAAAGTGGGAACAGCATGTTTTTCTTGAATTAAAAAAAAACCCTAATATAATCAGAGAATTGAAACAGATGGTGGGTTAATCTGTTTTGGCTTGCCACAAGAGAGAAATCATCTCACTTTTGCAACATATGACTCTAGAGAAAACAAGTGAGAATCGATACTAAGAACATTGTAAGGAACACTGTAAATCTAAATCAACAGATTTCACAAGAAAGGGGAACCTCTGTCTTCAGCAAGAAATTTAGGCTGTTTATTTCTATTCTTACAATTCGCTGTCATGAAATAGACTGAAAAGAGATCCTTATGTAGAGAGAGTAGAAAGGTTTCCAAAACATTAATCAAAAATCATCAAAGAAAGCAGTAGCCAAACAATTCCATAAATTACTATTATAGAATTACCAGTGCCCATGAAACTGAGTTCAACTTTACCTTTATGTGATTTATCAAACAATTTAATTTTTTTCCTACCCTGTTTTAAAATGCTCAAATTAAGTTGCAGGATGAAAAAAAAATCTTAAGTCAATTCCAAGACAAGAAGAATTTTAGGAGCTACTTATTATGGGGGAGGAGAGAAAAAAGTGATTTTTTCATAATTTCATTTTGAAAATGTTACTAATTTATAATTTATTCTGGATTTGATAATCATGGAAATTAGCAAAAAGGTATATTTAAAACATTTACCAACAGCTTGTAATCTCCCTTTCTGTTAGCTTAGGTAGACATTTGTTAGACAAAATACAGATTACAGATAGTTGACATTTGATCAGCTTCCCCACTTCGCTCCAATTCTTTCTTGTTAGACAAAATACAGATTACAGATAGTTGACATTTGATCAGCTTCCCCACTTCGCTCCAATTCTTTCTTGCTATATTAGCCTTGCTTTTATGCATGTGTATATCTCTGTGTATCTGTGTTTAAAAATACATTTTCAAATCTTTTTTAAAAATTAAGAACTTACCACCCATGGCCTTTTTTTCTCAAGCATTGCAATTGAATCTAGATGGTGCTGACGTTCGTGATATCGCTCCACATCTTGCTTATATCTTTCATTCTTTTGCTTCATTTTTTCTAGATTGCTATTTTTTTCCGTGCATGAATTCTGTCAACACATATATTTTAAATTATTTACATGACTAAATTAAGCAAGTTAACTCTCAGGTTATTGTTCTACCATCTACTTCATTCAATTCGTATTAGTGTTAATACAAATGGGAATTTTATCTCCAAAAATACAACTTATTTTGCAGCGTGCAAGTTAAAAACAGAAATGTCACTGGGGTTGTAGTCACAGAAATTATCACTAGATTGTAGTCAATTATTTGCTCTCAGTTTCCACCCGCTGAATGGGAGAGGCAATTTTTAACAATTCTCCCTCTATTTGGAGGAGTCCTCCATTCCCTACCGACATTGAAGGAAATCTTCACGGGACCAATGAACATTCAGCAAAGGGACACCACCTGATACAACCCAATATACCATTGAATGTAATGCAGAAAAATTCATCATAACTAGAGTTCCTGGTCTTTGCTTTGAGTCAGCTCAGATCCATAGAAATGTGCTAACAGAAGCCAAATATTTACTGAATGAAAACGTTCAATCAATAATATTATATATGCAGATAGTCCTCAACTTACAACCACAACTGAGCCCAAAACTTTTATTGCTCAGTAGGCAGTTGTTAAGTGAATTTTGCTACAGTTGTTAAATGAATCATGCAAATCTGTCTTCCCCCATTGACTTTGCTTGTTGGAAGCCTGCTGGGAAAGTTACAAAGGATGATGGCATGACCAGGGCCAGTGCAATTGTCGTTAAGGACAGGCCAGTTGCCAAGTGCCTGAATTTTGAACATGTGACCAGGGGAACGCTGCAACGGTCCTAAGTGGGAAAACCAGTCATAAGTCACTTTTTTCAGTGTTGTTGTTGAACGATCACTAAACAAATGGTTGCAAAACAAGGACTACCTGTATTTTCTATTTATTAATGGACATTTATAGTTCCTTTTTTATTTTCCCATTAAAAATTAACATAATTCTTAATTCTGTATCTTAATAATTTATAACTGAATTAACAAGATATCCCCTCAACCAAATTCTCACCCCCAACTTTAACTGTATTTAAATACTATATTGATAGTTATGTTAACATAATTGAGATTCTACTAATAAGAACTATGATTAATTTTTAAAAATGGCGTGTTTAATTTAATTTCATCTTTTGTTTAAAAAAAAGTTGGGTAAAATGACTATTTTTTTAAATCTATGAAATAAATAGTAAATAAATATAAAATAGTTTTTACAAGAATCTATTGATGTGGATAGCTATAAATAATACCTTAAATAAATAAATACAAGTTTTACATGGTAGAAAAGCATTAAAAATATATCAAGCTGTTTCATAATTATCAAAATAATAGCAAAAGGATATTTCAATAGAATAATTGTAATTAATATAAAATATAAAATCTAATAACCATGATTTCCAACCATCCAACATATTTGTTTAAATAAAATGCAACATACTTATTTGCAGAGATTATGCATTCCCCTTCATCAAACTTCAAGTAATCATGGTTATCTCTAGAAAACCTTCCCAGTAAATTACTACAAAACATAACAGATCGATCCATATTGACAATTAAAATGAATGTCATACAGTTTTGCTGTACTGCAAGACATTTTGAAAGCATTATTGTAACATAAAGCAAAAATACTATAAACAAACAGTAGTACAGTGCTGCTATATATCCCTGGACATTTACTCACTACTTATTCCTAGGGACTAAGGTGTAAAGGAAAGAAAACATTTAAGTCTTTCTGAAAACTTACCAGTTTTTTTTCTTATTTGATAATAATACAGATTTACAAGTTTTTTGTAAACTAATTATTTCTACTCATCAACTATATATCTTTAGTTTTAGTATTTTGCTTTTTTGTGAGTATATTTTATTTTTTATCCTATACAGTTATTTTTAGTGTTATTGTCTTTTGTGTTTCATTTCTTCTGTATTTTTTGTGATTTTTTTTGTTATAAAATACAATAAACAGGAAAAAAGAAAAAGAAAGAAAAGTTTTTCTGAGGAACAAGGACAGAATCAGCAATCATTAAGGAAACATCAATTGTTTAGGTTTTTTTAATCTAAGGTAGTTAAAAAAAGATAAAGCTAGAAAGAAGATACAAAGAAGAATAAATAAAAGAATAAAGAATAAATAAAAGCTGCAAGAAACAAAGCCAATAAGCCAAGATAATACCATGCCTGCTCTTCCGAGTAAAGTCATAAAATATTTTCAATAAAAGAAGGAAATTTTTCTTGTACATTCTTAGAACTTAACAAACCCAATATTTATCTTATACAATACATATTAGACTCTTACTTCAAGTTCTCGCTCTCTCTGCCTGAAGTTTTTCAGATCACAGTGAAATTTGTACATCTCTGGTGGACCAATTGATTTTTCTGTAGCTTCAAGCAACTCAATTCTGGACAATTTTGCAAATTCTCCAACTTTATCCTGCAAAGTAGATGTGCAGTATTTTATGCGTATAAATGCATTCAATTATATTTTACATTAAAAGACACGAACTTTTAACTAATATAAATATCCAGCTATTTTTAGTTCTTCCCAACTAGTAGCCACCACACAGCAGTTTTGGTAGGCTCTGGACAACAACCTTTGCATCTATATGTTAATACATCTACCCTAAACAAGGCTTTTGAACACTTATTCTCCACCTTACCAGCAGAAGGTATTCTATTGCCAAAATATAGTTCTCACACAGCTTTGGAATGCTGGAATCAGAGACAAACCAGCAAAGGTTGTGGGCAGAACGGTGTTTCAGCTGCTACAGATGGTCCTATGGTTTTCACTGTGAGATAGCAGCAGCATATTTCACATATAGGCAAGTCACTCAGCTGAGGTTAAATAATAGGATGCTCTGTGAATGATTTCACACTTCTCACAGAGCACTAGATTGTACCCAAGACATATCTACTGCAGAAGTTCATTATACAATAAATCTTCTATTTATGGTAGTCCCATTCAGAGAAAATACTTCAATTATGCTAATATAAATGAGAGAAGTCTAATAAACCAAAGAACCATAAATCTGGAAGGGGCTATTTATGTTATTCAATTCCCTACTGATGCAGGGATTCAAATTAAAACAATTGAAAAAGAAGGCTATTCAATTTCTGCTTGAAAACACCCAGTGAAGAGAAGTAACTAGTTTGTCTAACTGGTTTCCCTGTCAAGCTAATTTTATATTATGACAATTTTTCCTAACATTTATTCATAATCACTTTCCTGTCCTTTAATTCTATTATCATGTCATGCACACATTGGAATGAAAGAGATGGTACTATAAAGATTATTGTTTTCATAACTTACCCTATTGTATCTAATAGCTAATATCAGGAAGTAAGCATTTATCTTGCACAGGATTTTTCATATCATTACATCCTTCATTATTTCATTTATTGAAACTGTTAATATTTATATTTTCTTTAAAATGAAAAGTATTCATACCTGCGGAAGAAACTGGCACAGATTGCCCACTTGAATATTTAAAGCTGAGACTTGTTCCTCCACCATTCTGAGAGTGCAGGGGGCTTTATTAAGAAACCAAGTTGACTGGTTGTTTGCTACAGAAATTTCTCGTGTGATAGTAATATTCTTGGGCTTCTTATGCCTAATGACCAGAAAATAATTGTTACATATTACCTTAGGCCATGGTACTATTGTATAATAGTACTGTATGTGTACTATTAAAATAAACATTAAAATAATGTTTCAATAACATTACTTTTCAAGTATAGGTAGTCCTCAACTTACAACCACAACTGAGCTTAAAATTTCTGTTGCTAATTGGGACATTAAGTGACTTTTGCCTCATTTTATGACCTTTCTTGCCACAGTTATTAAGTGAATTACTGCAGTTGTTAAGTTAGTAACATTACTATTAAGTGAATCTGGCTTCCCTATTGACTTTGCTAGTCAGAAGGACATAAAAGGTGATCATATGACCGCAGGACATTGCAACCGTCATAAATATGAGTCAGTTGCCAAGGGTCTGAATTTTGATTACGTGACCATGTGGATGCTACAATTGTCCTAAGTGTGAAAAACAGTCCTAAGGTCACTTTTTTCAGTGCCATTGTAACTTCAAACAGTCATTAAACTAACTGTTGTAAGTCGAGGACTACCTGTACACTTGTGAAAACAGGCATATAAACAAGTCTCATTACTCACACCTCAATTTCAACTGTTCCTTTATTGCAACCTCGCTTCACATAATGACCAACCTGAACAAAAGGAAAAGATACATAGAGAGAGCCTTAATTTATAAATATTGCATATCAGTTATGAAATGCCTAAACAGTAGAGCTGTTTAGTATAAATTGGGACAGGATATTAGTGAAATGAAAAAAGAATGCAGAGGAAAGTAAGCATAATGAGGTATCATTTTTGGTCACCTAAACTCAACATACAATCTAGCAGCACTTAGCTCTCTAACTCATGGCAGAAATCATAACTGCCTGTACAGTGCAGTATTTACAGCAAAATATGCTATTTAGTAAATGGCATAAAAGTAAAAAGATCATAATTTAATATTTAGTCCCCTTTGAAATCATTACAGTTAAAACAATCCAGCAGATGTGATACAGTATTGGCATAACAAAGGAGAGAGGAGAATTAAGGAGTAACACCTAGGACAACAAAACATTCCAGAGATTAAAGTTATTTAGAAAAAGAAGTACACAAAATAAACCAGTCTCTCTCCTGGTTTTGTTAATCAAGTAATGCCTTCTAGCAGGAACTAGATAGCAGGTTGCCTTTGTTGTGGCAACTACCCTCGAGAACAGCATTCCCCTTGAAGTTCAGATGACCCCTAATATAATGACTTTTACAGATCATTAAAAACATGGTTTTTCCACCAGACCTCGGTTTGGACGCAGGGGTTCTCAACCGTGGCAACTTTAAGACTTATGAACTTCAATTCCCAGAATTCCTCAGCCAGCAAAGCTGGCTGAGGAATTCTGGGAGTTGAAGTCCACAAATCTTAAAGTTGCCAAGGTTGAGAACCCTGGTTTAGAGTGAGAAGGGATCCTTTTTATATGTTTTATTTCTGCTGGTGGCAAAAGAGTTGGGTTACTTTACATCCCGATGATGCTATCTTTTCAGTCAAAAATTATGCCTGAAACATAATGCATTAAAGTTATTATACAAAGGACCATCATTTATTTGCAATATATTAGATTGAAATTATTTTATACAACTTAAAGAAATGTACCCTAACAGAAGTCCAATTTATATCGTATGATTCCAAACAGAACCAAACCAAATTCTCACCTTGTCAGCTCGTCCTATAAAGGAAGGTTTTCCTGCCAATCCAAGGCATATCGCACATACAATGCTTGATTTACCTGTCCCATTAGCTCCCACAATCATATTTAGATGAGGGCCTGGAAACACCACACAGTTATCGTAGGTTCTGAAAATCAATTTTTTTAAAAAAGAAATGTTTATAAGAAAGTTATTTGTAAAAATAAAAAAGAAGCAGAATTTATGTTATTAATAATTCTATTTTCCCCCCCATTTTTTTCATTACTGTTTTGAGTGCTCACCAAAGTAGAGACAGGGTATAAAGCAAAGAAAGAAGCTAATATCTAAGATAATCTGACTTTTAAATTTTAGCTCAGAAACAGAGAAAAATAAAATCCTATCCTACAAAGTTTATCAAAGAACAAAGAAATTAATGTCTTAACTGAAACAAGAATCCCATCTAAAGCTAACTTTTCAATGCCAGTCTGTTAACCATCAAATGTTTGTAACACCTCCCTTGTAGGTGAGAGTTATATCTACATCTTTTAAGGGAAAAGATAAATGTAGGGGGATGAAATACTTATATGGTGTGAAGAAAGTGAACAAGAACTTTTTCATTGCAAATCATTTGTCAATTCACTCTCATAATATAACACTGGGCACACACTTGGGCAACTTTAATAACTTTAATAAAGATTGTTAGTCAATCATTATGGCTAATTATTAGCTCCAGTACCAGGGGCAATATGCCTCTCAATACCAATTACTGAGAAATAGGAGCAGAAAATAGGTATTGTTCAGCTTTGATTACAGACTAAGAGTGAATATTTGGTTAGCTAGTAGAGGATGAAAATGTTTAAATGCCACAGAGAAGAGGGGGAGTCAAGTTAGTTTCCAAAGCACCAGAACGCAAAGCACAAGAAACAATGAATAGAAACTAATCAAAGAGAGAAGCAACCTGGAATGAAGGAGAAACTTCCTAACAGTGAGAACAATTAACCAGTGGAACGAACAGCTTTGCCTTCGGAAATCGTGGGTGCTCCTTCATTGGAGGTTTTTAAGAAGATAGCCACTTGTCTGAAATGGTTTAGGTCACAGGGGTTCTCAACCTTGGCAACTTTAAGACTTGTGGACTTCAACTCCCAGAATTCCTCAGCCAGCTTTGCTGGCTGAGGAATTCTGGGAGTTGAAGTCCACAAGTCTTAAAGTTGCCAAGGTTGAAGAACCCCTGGTTTAGGATCTCCTACTTGAGTAGGGGGTTGGACTAGAAAATCTCTAAGGTCCCTTCCAGCTTTATTCTGATTGACTGACTCCCTGTTCCCCCCTTCCTGAGGGAAGTTGAGAGTTTTGTATAGATGACCAATGGAGCATGAATGTAATGGTGGCAAGGGGAAATCAGAAACAGTAGGCTACATAGACACTACTAGGCACTACGACTCTCTTTGCGACTTCAATTACTCCCTTTACGTTTAAATGCAACAGAACATCTAGACTGCTCTTAGGATCTGAGGTAAAGTGTATAAAGATGAACATGATTTTCTGATGGGGCAACTACTGCTGATAATAAAATAAGTCATTAAGGCCCTTCTTGGATTTAGGGGAAGCAAGAGTGAGAGCAAAACACCATATAGGGATACCGACGAACCCACCGAACCCGCGGGAGCCACCGCGAGCCCTCTGGTAGCGGGGAAAAAGTTTCCTGACAAAATAGTAAAACCCCGCCTCTCGGCCTTGAAAGAGGCCACGCCCACCGTGCCTCATTTTTCTCCCCCCGCCGTTATTGGCCAGCCGTACAGCCGCTGCCCATGCGTCTTTCCCACTCACAGGAAGTTTTCCATGGAGATTCTCACGATAGCGCCCTCGACGAACGATGTATTTGCGCTTCGTCGATCGTCCGATCGCGGCTGGCTTTCCTTCGAGGTTCGTTTACTGAGGTGATTCTTGCCCCCGCTGCTCCCCGCCTCAGTTTCTTCAGATTTACGCTTAGCAGAGGCCGCCATCTTTACCTCCTGCAACAACTAGTGTGAATTCTAAGGGCTAGGCAAGCGACAATGCGCGCTCGTTTCCCATTGGTTGCTCTGACCTCTGGTTAGGCTGCCGGCGTATGTCATTGGTTACCACAGTCCTACGTCTCGTGAGTATTTCCGTTAGAGGAAAATAGGAGACTATTTCCTCTTTTTCTGTCGCATACCGGCCGGGGAGGAAGATCTCAAAGTCTATTGGATGGTGAGAAAAAAAGGGCGGGAACGAGCATTTTCACTGGGCGCGAAAAAGCAGTGGGGCGTTTCTTTGTGAAACCTTGAGTTCTGGACGCAGTTGTATAAATCAAGCTTTACTCCTTAATAATTTGCAGTGGGCATTTTAAGTACGTTACGAATTAAGATTAGTAGATTTGGAGTTCAGAAACTTGCTCTCCTGCTACCTAGCGGTCGTCGCAATTTATGCGAGCGAGAATTTGTGGCCCTCTTAGAAAAAGCCTCTCACTGATGAACTAAAAGTAGTTGCTGATGGTTTTTAGGAAAGAAGGTAGGCGTTAGTTGGGAGCAGAAAAAAAATGAGTATCCTCTGCAAAACTGACCAGGAATAATGTCGAGGGCTTCTCTACCAAACTATGTAAGCAAGGTTTTCCTATCGTGCCCAGTGTAGGATGGGATTACAAATCTCAATTATCAATGATTATTACAGAAGCAACTATGGCAGAGGTTGGGGTTGAACACTAACACCACATGACATTAATATGATCCTTAACTATCCAAGGATTTCATTGCTTTTTTATCCTCTTAGAGCTTAGGTTAAGCAAAGGCAACTTGGCTTTTCATGGAAAAGTCTTTTGTGTGCATAATTTTTCCCTCAGGTTCATGTCCTCCAGATTTGTAGCTATTCTGGCACTGGTTAATTGAGATTGTATTCTAAAATATTTAGACCAGAGGTGTCCAACTTTGGCACTTTTTAAGACTTGTGGATTTCCAAGTAGCAGAATTCCCTAGCCAACATGAGATGTGCAGGAACATAAAAAAGGTGAATCGATCTTTTGATAGGAAAAAAGGGGAGTAAAAATAATGGTAGAAAAAAATGGCTTTTTGCTCCCTCTTAATAGATGATGATGGGGCTTCAGAAAGTACCAAGCTGCAAGAGGAGATAGCTTGACTGCAGAAGTAAATACGAGGGCAATTCAGAAATAAACCTCCATTTGGTTATCAATGACAGACACTCACAGATACAGAACTTCTATTATACACATTAGAAAACTACATTATATTACTTTTCAACATAATTGCCATTCAAATTGAGGCACTTGTCATAACTTCTTACAAGGTTTGAAATTCCTTAGTAGTCGCTCAGCGGCAAATCTGGGCTATGGGGGGGGTGATCAAAAACATCCCAACGGAACTGCTTCAAAATTTCTTGAGTGCATCTAGCGGTGTGCAGGCAAGCATTATCATGAACGAACATCATACCGGAAATGGTGCCATAGAAAATCCTGTCAAATGTGAAGATGCCAAAGGAATAGTGCTAGTGAAGTTCATGGAGCATGGTTTGAACATCAATTCAAAAGCATATTGTGAAACAGAAAACAGAAGAGCCATCCATAACAAGCATCAGGGCATGCTGACTTCTGGTGTGTTGATTCACGATAATGCTCACCGCACACCGCTAGACACACCTAATAACTTTTGAAGCAGTTCCATTGGGATGTTTTTGATTACTCCCCCTATAGACCAGATTTGGCGCCGAGCAACTATTACTAAGGAATTTCAAAACTTGTAAGACGTTATGACAAGTGCCTCAATTCGATGGCGATTATGTTGAAAAGTAATGTAATGTAGTTTTCAAATGTGTATAATAAAAGTTCTGTATCTGTGAGTGTATATCATTGATAAACAAACAAAGGTTTATTTCCAAACTGCTCTCATAATTAGAATTAGAGGAAGGTACTGTACCAACAACTCCAAGAACCCATAGTATAACTACCAGAAGGGGCTTCAGAGTGAGGCATGGAAACATCTGAGCTGCAAAAATAGCTGCATAAAATTGCTAACTTAGCCACAGGCGAGAGGCATATAAATTGTGGCAAATATTCCGAAAAATAAGTCGTTTTTCTAAGAAGAAAAATGTGGGTCACAGTAGTAAGCAAAGCACATATTTAAAATATTGACATTCCTTGCATATATAATTTAATCATAATGTGATGTAGTAGGTTTAAGGAAGGTCTCGGGGAAAATGTAGGTGGTGGTTGGAGAGAATGTAACCTCATAATACCTAAGCCAATGGGGAACAAGGAGGGCTGCCAGGACAGAGTTGTGTAAGGAAGGGAATTGTTTGAGTTGAAACTTTGGAGAGAACCAAACTATGATGCTTCTCTCCGCTTATTAACAATAAACGAAACAAGATCTTCACTGTGTTATGGCTGGTTATTGGTCAGGCAATTTTGCCACTGATTGTGAAAGAAAGCAGCCAACGACATATAACACTCCTTTTTTTTCCTATCAAAAGATAGTTCACTTCCCTTATTTTCCTGCACATGTGCTTATCTCATTCTGGAGTGGAGGTTGCAAGTCAAGATTAAAATAGCCTAGTTTTTCAGGTGCTGTTAAGCTTAAATTCTAGTAAGCATAATAATGCCTTGATGAAGTTAGACTTTCAGTCCTGTAAGCATATTAAGAGAGAAAGGAATGAAAAGTATTAGTATGATCCATCTTCATCATGGAGTTTATTTTATTTCTATCTTTGCCCATTTTTGTTTGAGTTAATGATGTTATGTCTTCCTGGATTTAATGGGCTCCAAGGAAAATACTGGAAATCTCCAGAGATTAATGATAAAAGCGAATTATTATTTTTGGCACATACCTTATATACTTTTGTTTATAAATCATCTGATTCTACCCATCAGTGCTTTCCATTATTTCAATACCCATTTTTGTGTGCAGCAAGAGGAAGCACTACAAAGAAAAAGGAATCTAGTTCATAAATTCACTTTATTAGTTAAATTTAGAGGCCATTTGACTCCAGACAACTCTAGATAGATTACATAATAAAAGGAGTAAAAACAAAGATGATGATGAAAGTTTCTCAACATCTGAAAGAGGGAACACAACACCCAAAGGGAAAAACAACAGGATAAACAGCCACCTACCTCCAAACCTGGGACCAGAATCAAGTTTTAAATGACTTTGAAAACACCATCATGGTAAGTTGTATAGATGTATTTTCTAGATGGCAGATGCTGTAACAGAACTCACTTTCTGAGTCCTGATAGATCACAATGATTAATTGAAGAGACCAGGAGCCCATCCACTCTGCCTGTCTAGGGTCAGACACAATGAGAATATTCCAGATTTCTTCAGTTAAATGTGTCATAATGGGATCAAAGAAGTATGCTTTTTCTGTTATGGTTCCTTAGGATAAATTTTGATTCTGAAACGTCTAGGACAGAGGTCACCAACCTTTGTCGGTTGGCAGACCAAAGGAAAAGGGAGGGGGAAGCATTTTACATGCATGCATGTGTGTACGTGCGCACAGGGCCGTGAGTATGCACATGCCACAAACGGGGCAGGGCTAGCGCCCATGTGATACTAGCCCTACTAGCCTTGTTCTTGCGTGGCACAGCGCCTTGTTTTTACACCTCGTGGCACGGCAGTAGCCATTTTTGCGCCTTGCAGGGCGGCGGTATCCTGTTTTTGCACCCCAAGGTGCATCATCGTCCAATTTTCACATCCCAAGGTGCAGCGGTGACCCGTTTTTGTGCCCTGTGGCATGGCGTCCTGTTTTTGTGCCCTGCAGCTGCGGCACTAGCACAAGTGAGGGGTGTGCACGCACATGCGTGTGCACTGGCCAGCCTGTACCGTGGCCCGGTGGCCAGCAGGCCACGGCCCACTACCAGGCCACAGCCCACACAGGTTGGGGACCCCTGGTCTAGCATGTGGCACTGAACAGGAAATTCACTAAAACCAATGGTAGTCATAGAAGTGTAAAAATGGGTAAGATGGCAGATGTAGCACTGTGATGCATGCTCTGCCTTTTATATATATACTAATCTCAAAGGGGATATGAGACTTGCATTTTACACCCATATTACAGATGGTACTGATCCAATTCAGTCCTGTCTTTATTACAGTTATGGACCAACACAAGGTACTGATCCATATATATCTATCCTACACTATAACTGATAGCAAATAGGCACTGTACACTCACTATTTTGAAAAATCAAAACATACAGGATTTTTGCAAGTTCACAAGTTATTAAATTAGAAGATGTTATTTTTGAAGTGTCCACTAGATGTCAGGAGAATATCAGGCTAGAAAGAAATATATCAATTAAACCATTTACTTCCTATTTTTGACTAAAAAAACGTGGAATATACTGACAGCCTATAATAAATGATGTAAAAAATGCAATTCTATTTAAATGTGTAATGCAATAAAATAAAATTATTAGAAACACTGCAGTGAAAGGTATTAACAAAACTATAATAATGGTATTTTGTGGAACAAAATAATGGGTAAATGGATATATCTGATTGAATATAAAAGGTCTAGGTTTTGCATCCAGTAATCTTAATTCACTGCTTGGGTGCACGGTACAGGCATGCTGTATTATTTTCTATGCATTTTATGCAGATTCCAAAGAATTATGGGAGATTCTAGAAAAATTCTAGAGATTTTGGAAAAGCTAGATGAAATGTTAGATGTTAGTGTATGTACTTGACATGACGCTCATTCAATGGCATAATGAAATAGGTAGGCTTACATTCCTAGGAAGATGTTACATAGATAACATACTGATTATTCTTGCAAATCATTTGAAAGGCCCCTTCTCCAAATAACACAATTTGAAGAAGGATCATTCTGAATGATTGTGAGAATTGGGCCCACTTGCAGAATGATATTGAGGTGGTCTCCTTGGAAGGCCACACCTTGTGTCAGCTGGACATGCCTGTCAGAAAAACAACACAAAGGTAAGTGGCCCCAGGCGTAGTGGGTGGGGAAGGGCTCAGGCAACCCAGCATGGGATGGGTGAGAAGGCCCAGACCTCCCAGCCTGCAACAGGTTTCCACACACCGCTGGGCACCAAGCTCCCCAAGCCTCTCACATCGCAAGGGATTCCATGTCCCATCAGATTACTTAACGACCGCAACTAGGAAAGCCAGTATTGCAATCATTGAGCAAACCGATTATGTGGGTGTTTTGCTTAACTATTTTTTTTTCTTAATTCCAGTCCCAATTTTGGCTGTAAATTACGAATTACTTTAGTCTGGATTTCATATGAATTGCAACAGAAAGCTAGGTATATAATATTAACAACGTTAATTGGCCATTTATGTTATATTACAGACCATATTTTTTTTCAAATACATTTCATAGCTAGCTAATTGAAGCAGTCTGGTCTGGCAGTTTCCGTTGTAGGATGATTGTGAGAGAAAAAAAATCAATTTTATTCAAAAAAATAGTACATTTCTGGCCACAGGTGGAGTTAAAGTGAAAACACATTTTATTTGATCAATTAAAATTAAGGCATTTGTACACACATATACATATATGAAATGCATGTCCCTCTATAATCACATATTCAACATTCAAATGGGTATCATTTTTTTTCAAACAGGAATATTTTGTGGTTAAATGTAACTTAAAGTCATTCTTGACAAGTCTATCAAACCACTAATATATTAAATAATAAAACTGCATTTCAAACAGTTTCCTCATTTGTATGTTGTTCAATATTGGTGCGCTGCATTATATTTTATAGAACACTTACATAGATTTTATCTGTCAGCTGCAGCCTGGATAAACGGATTCATTATAATTATTAGGAAAAAACAGCACAATAATTAAAATACTGTATTGGTGAGACCCTTATATTGCAAATCTATGCACATCTGGGAATCATTGTCATTGAGCTCAATGACATGAATTTCTGAGTGGACATGCATAGGATTCCGACAGATATTAGTCTTCCTAAACAATACTAAAAACATTTGCAAACAACATATAAAATGTTAATAGTGTTTATAAATTTCTTTATTTCACAATTTTTAACTAAATCCATTATTTGCCAACAAGGCATTCATTGAATGCAGATTTTGTTAACACAATGACAGATTGTGTCCATTTTATTTTATATATTTGTATGGCTGAAAATTCTTAAAAAATCTATATTGATTATTGCAAATTTGGTGCAAATTCAATAGCTCCTTAGAATAACTGATGTCACATGCAAAAGAAAATGCATAAAACAAAGTGAGAGAAACCCTGAGTCAATAATTTCATAAGCAAGGCACTAAATCTTTCCTCGGCTCTTCCTGTGCCTTTGTGTCTTTTACAAAATAATCCAGTAGTTATCTTTAAATTGGATAGTATGGACAAGTCTGTGCAGTTTCTACTGTAGAGAAAGCACTGGTATTCCATCAGCTACTGCCGAGTTCAGTACTCTATTTCATTGAAATCAGCAGAATATCCTGATGACTCTAGTATACTTTCTTCCATTTCTAAGAGGACAGAAAGAACATTGAAAACATCTGTATATTACTTTACAGATAAAAATCATTTTGAGGTGCTAAGATGCAGAGAGAAATAGTCTGAAGACTAGCTATCCTTTCTTTCATGAGTATTAAAGTAGAAATAATGAAAGAGCTTTAGCTCAAGAATGGTTTTGTGGGACTTTTGATAAATGTGACAATAATATCTTTGTAAATCTAGAAAGAAACACTTGCTATGAACAGTTGTCTCTTTAGTTGTGTGTGTGTGTGTGTATAAATATAATGAAAAGCTTTCAAGAGGCAAATGTAAATCAAATACCAGGGCAAATTCAATCAAATTAAGTTTACCTCTACAAGGTCCTCTCTGAAATGAAATGTCATCTATAGCAATGTCACTTCTTATTGATATTCCACGAATTGCTTCAAATATAATCTGCATTTTTTAAAAAAGCATAATTTATAAATACAGTTTGATTTTATAGAAATGTATAAAGTACTGTACATGCAAGGTAGTAATTTACATATAAGTGTGTAAATTTTTGTTTGTAAATCATGGTGTAGTTATAACTAACTGAAGTAGAAGAAAGCTCTTTTAAATGAGTATCTCTCCTACCCTCTCCATGCCCCTTCTGGAAAGTTTGGCAATCCTTAGGAATAGTAACATGGGATGGGAAATAAAAATAAGGAGTTGTACAAAATGTGCTGTTAAAATATTAAATTTGCTCCATTAATCTTTGTGTTATTTGGGTCTGTTTCCTCCTTTCTCAAGATCTCCTAAGAAGTCTTATTTTTCATAAAGATTGACCAATCTTCCAGACAAACTTTGAAGCCAAGAAAATCCTACCAATAAGTTTCCTTCCACATGGATTCAGTTGTCCCTTTCCAGGAATTATTTATATATCCTTCTTCTCAATGAATAGACTTTTTTTTAAAAAAATGTGACGTTTCTTCTCATATATTTTCATTTTTTTTAATTGGAGGAGAAAGGGAAAGTTGTTCTTTATTTTCCTGGCAAGCCAGGTGATAGCAGAGGCAAGGATTTGGGGGCAGAAGCACCATCTTACACACCAAAGCAATGGTCTTCCACATTATTTGTATTCTCTGCCTTGTTCAGCAAGGAGTAACTTCACTGGAAGAGCCTCTACCTGTGCCTTCATTATTTGGATGTAAAAGCTCCACCAGTCTTACTTTTACTTGGAGGCCTGAAGGCCACTACTCCAGATTCAGAGGAAACCTGTACATATATTTTTTAGAAGAATTTACTTTTAGAAGGAAGAATTTTGGTTGCATCAAAATGTATTCTTCCCCCAACAGAATAACTTTCCTTTTCCTCTTTGTGTCCTTCTTAAAATCTATTCTGGGGAGTTGAAAGATGGTTCATGAGCACAGATCTATACACCCTTTGGACTGACCCACATTCTCACAGAAATGTGTAACAGTTGCTTTGATATTTTTATTCCTGCACCTCTTCCTTCATACTATTATATGTAACTGAAATCCAAACTGTACAACATTAGATCTATATATTTAAATTATCTAAAACTGGATAGAGAGAGACATAGTACTATGAGCAAATAGTCAATTGAAATTGTTTGCTAGATTTATGAAGTGTAAAGAATAAATGATTTATTGAATTTGTCCTTTTTTTGTATATAAGTTTTAGACTGCTTGAAAAATGGCTATACAATGAAAGATGGAGCATTTCACAAACCTCTCCTTCAATATCTCCTTCCTAAGTAAGGGCAAAAACATCACACAGCATTCATGAGAATATCTATATAATTTTCTTCGGAAAATAATTTGTAAAGCAAATTCTCCATCAAATTAAATAAGAACCGTAAGGAAAAAAAACATGAGAATTTCTGTGCATAACATCTGATACTGCTATGATCTTTAATGACAGACAGGCTTATTTTGGTTGCTTATGCAATCAATTTAGACTCAATCAATTCAAGACTATCCAGTGCTATTTTAAATTGGCATGTTTCAGTCACATTTTCTCCTTACAGGTCTTGGGGAATTTATGCCTGCTGCTGGCATTTAACAAACTTGTCAACCAGAAATTTATCCCTCCAAATATTCTGGGCCATAAGTTAAACAGATACCCATTCCTATAAAGGGATTGTTAACTTACCTGGTGAGATTTATCACATGTATATTCTATTAGGCCCTTTAACCATGAGATGCTTTGTTCACCACGTCTTCTCCAAATGAGGATCTCCTTTTTAGAACCATGCATCTTCAAATAAACATTCAGCAGTCCTGTCCCATGTCCATACATATGATAAAAAAATATAAGGCACTGATGTCCAAATGTCTTTCGTAATAACCTTGAAATAAGTTGTGCCTTCTGTCCATAGATCATATTAGAAGCTTCAATATACATGTAATATCCTTCAAAAAGAAAATATATGAAAGTATATTTTAAGAGATTTTTTTAATTCTTATAGAGTGATTCAGATATCTGAATTTTACCAGGAACAAGTTTCCTTTCCGTCACTTTTGAGGTTTTTTTTTTACACATACACATATTTCTAACATTTATTATTATATGATTTGTCTACTGTGTTTCCCCAAAAATAAGACCCGGTCTTATTATTATTATTATTTGCCTCCAAAAGAGGCACCAAGTCTTATTTTTGGGGAGTGTCTTTTTCACGGTCTCACCTCGCCGTGGCAGCACTGAAATCTCCACCCAGCCGGCCCATTTCTTCTGTGATGGAAGGAAATGCCTCTGCAGCAAAGAATGGAGCTCCAGATTGAATCTGTAGCTCAGTTCTTGGCTGCAGAGGCCTTTCCGGAAGCCTCTGATGGCAAAATGAAGGCTAGGGGGCACCACAGAAGAAGTGAGCCGGTGAGGCGAGGCAGGTGTTGATTCATGGGAAGCCTGGCTGCATCGGTAAGTGGGTATGGGGTGTGTGGGGCAGCTCCACCTCCCCACCCCAGCTTGATTTTTAGGCCCAGCCCCAAAAATCAAGCTAGGGTAGGTATTACTTTCGGGGAAACACGGTATCTTGGCAATTATTGCTCTTTTCCAATATGAATTCACTTCTCTCAAATCTTACCCAGAATTATCGGAGAAGTCTGGAAAAAGTACCATAACAATTGTCTTATTTATTGAAGAACATCTACAATAAGATTCTGTTATCAGCATAAAAATTTAAAAAAATGAAGGAATGGTTTTGTCTATTTTTAAGCATGGAAATCCTAATCTGTATGTTTAATAGAAAAGAAAAGCATCAAATGTTCTCATTTAGATTACAAATCTATCTTGGAATAAAAACTATTCATACTTGATATTTCATTATATTATTTAGGTCACTTATCACCTTTTAAATTATAACTTACCTACCCCAGTAGTGTGGTCTCCTCTTGGACCAGTGTAAGATGTAGGCGTTGGACTTCTCCTCCTATGCCAACCATGCCGGTTTCTTGGTTGCAGAGTAAATGAGCACTCATTTTTTTCAAAAGTACATTCTCCGGGAAAATCAGGTAGTATATCTACCAAACACATACAGTAAAATGCAGTTATGCTTAAGTATATTTAAATATATCTAATTGACCTGTTTAAACTCCTGGTATGGATAAAGCTATCAGTTTTATTCAACTGTACTTATAGCAACTGCTTTTCTATCTGAATTTGTTGATTTGATGACACTCTACTCATTTTTATTATTTTTTTAAACACATTACATTTTCTGCTTTCTCAAAATTCCAGGCAGATATTACTTTTCTAAGTAAATATGATTTTTCATTCTAAAATAGACTTATATAACATTTACTTAGATGCATGTTTTACAATTTGGTTTGATATTGCTAAAATAATTAGTTATTGCTAAAATAAGTAATAGTTGCTAAAATAAATAATAGTTATTTCTAAATAAGTAATAGTTATTGCTAAATATTGCTAAAATAAGTAATAGTTATTAACAGAAAATCATGTAACTATTCATGGTTTAGTTAATTCAAATTTCACTGCAATCTCTTGAGTTTACTCATGATTATTCATTTATGTTTTGTCACAGTCAAATGTGACCTTAGCAATTGACAAAGTATATAGAGAATAACTAAAGCATTCATAGTAAGCCTAATTTTAAATGGCTTAAATCAGTTAAATCACATCATAATGGAACAAAAACATGGATTATCAAATTGAGTCAATATACAGTATATGCATGAACAGCTAATTCTACATTATACAACTCAGTGTTTGGCATTTTGCTAAAGCTAATCAGAGATAGCGCTAGCCTGATTTTAGGAGACTACCACTACTATAAGGAGATCTTTCTGGAGCCCCTGTTACTTTCAGAAATGCAGAACATTTAACTGTCTCGTTCAGAACAATTCCTACAGTAGGTTGGATTCTTATATATATGGAGACAGACAGACAGTGACATAATGGACATTTGTGTTAATGGAAGGTACTCATTTCGCCTATATCTAAATCCCAATTTAAATATAGATCTGCCCAATTTTTTTTTCTAAGAGCAAGTAGGAGTGTTTTGAAATTTGATAGAAGAAATTCCATTTCTTTGCAAGAATTTCTTTGGCATGCTGAATACTCTCTGTACTCTTATTATTGTGAATTTGAATCCACATCATTAAAATGGAAAAAAGCATAGTTTTTAAACTTAAAAGTATATCTCCATCCAATATGGAATGGTGTATGATAACCTGAAAATATATATTAGGGGAAAGTTTATACAGAACAGATCACTAATATCATAAAGTACACATCAATTGCAATAAATATACATACTACGGATTTGAAATGTAATTAATTTTACCAGCACTATGACAGCTTCCCAAATTCACTGATATATCATCTAGTGCCACTAGTCCACAATCCCAAAAGTTTCTACACCAGCTCAGAAACACCACCTGAAATTTGCACAAAAATACAGTCAATCTTAATTTTTCCAAGCCCTTTCCCCCCCAGAATGCTTTTCTAATCTTTTGAATTTTATATAGCATTTGAAAAAGATGCTTTACAAAGATGAACTGGTACAGCATCCTTATTGAAAGTTGCTTCAAAGGATATCAGTACATAAGGGCATGCATTCACTTTACTCACGATCTCAAAAGAAATATTCTCGATCTATGTACATATCACAGATAGTCAAATTTTGAAGTTAACATTATCTCAATATTCGTGAAAAAAATGTTTTGCTTACTAGAACTCTTTCTAATGGTCTGAACACAGTTATATATAATGAAAATATAAGTATAAAAGATTGCTAACTCACTGATTTCTAGTTACTTCCATTTTAGCACTAATCTGAATTAAACAGCAATTTGGCTTATCCAGATTTTTCATTAATAAAACAGCTAGAAATTCCTAGCTAATTCTATAGTATTACTAGAATTTGAATCATGTAATTTAGCAATGAATATTTATATTTGAGATTATTGTTTCAAATTATATTTGTTCTGTAGATCAAATAAGTATATAAACAATTGAAGTAGAAATATTCAGGCATTTGATGCTTTCTCCAAAGGAAGATAGTAATGATCTGTGGAGTCTTTGATGCTCTCTGTGCTTGATTGCTTGCTTGCAGATGTGTCATTACCTGATTAGGTAACTTTGTTTTGTTTTTCTTTTCAAATGGCAGCTAGTGGGATTTGATGTGGGTAGTTTTCTGGGTATTGCCATAATAATCTTTCCATTCCCTACCATCTAGGTCCAATAATAACCTTCAATAAGAGTAACTGATGCCATTTCCATTCCATAACCAGGTCAGAATCCTTACTGGTGAAGATCTAGATAATCTGCTTCCTATAATCTTCAGGAAAGAGTTGCACTCATATCGTCCCCCATAGCAGATGACACTTAGATTTACCTCTTCTCTTTCTCTCTCAAACACAAATTTACAAAGAAATATCTAAAATATTGTTAAAATACCAGTAAAAGCAATTACAAGAACAAATTTATCTGGTTAAAAGCATTATGGAAACAAATTGGTTTCCAATCGGAACGATATATAGAAACTATATTAAAGTTCTTACAAAAGTCTGTAAACACTTTTTCACAACTTTATTGGGATTATATTATTGTTTCTGCAGAAATCAACATTGTTCAAATATAGCTGAAATTATGGGGTCCTTGGTGCTCTCTGAACTTGGTGGTTTTCTTGCAGATTACTAAACTAGGTAACATCAGTCTGGCTGAAATTTCATAAGCAACACATGTTGCTAATCAAGAAGGTAACAAGCAACAGGGAAAAAGCAGAACTACTTAACTCGGTTTTTGCATCTGTCTTTACACAACGGGAAAAAACAGTCCAACCTATCAAAAACAGTACCGTAAAAAACAGATTAGAAACACAAGTTAAGATAGGCAAGAAAACGGTAAGTGAGCACTTGTCGACCCTAGATGAGTTCAAATCACCAGGACCAGATAGACTACCCCCCAGGGTTCTGAAGAACTGGCAGATATGATCTCAGAACCACTGAACTATATTTTTCAAAGATCCTGGAGCACTGGGAACTACCCAGTGGACTGGAAAAGAGCTGGTGTAGTTCCCATCTTCAAAAATGGGGGAAAAAATGGATATGGGAAACAGACAGACCTATCAGCCTGACCTCAATACCTGGGAAGATAATCAAGCAACAAATCAGCAAACACCTAGAGGCATGGGTTTGTTAAAAACAGATCATGCCAGACAAATCTTATTGCATTCTTTGACCAAGTGACAAAATTAGTGGATCAGAGGAATCTGTGGATATAATTTACTTGGACTTCAGTAAGGCATTTGATAAAGTAGACCACAACCTACGACTTGATAAGATAGAAAAATGTAGGTTAGACAGCATCACCAAGAGATGGATTTGAAGCTGGCTGATCTGCTGTACTCAGCGTGTGGTCCTCAATGGAACTGCATCTACATGGAGGGAAATGTGTAGTGGGGTGCCCCAGGGCCCTGTTCTGGGCCCAGTGCTCTTCAACATCTTCACCAATGATTTGGATGAAGGGATAGATGGGGAACTCATCAAATTTGCAGACGACACCAAGCTGGCAGGAATAGCCAATACTCCAGAAGATAGGCTTAAGATACAGAAGGATCTCGACAGACTTGAACATTGGGCGCTAATCTAATTAAAGAGAGAAGCAACCTAGAACTAAGGAGA